GAGCATCGAGCACTCCTGGAGCACATACGTGGCAAAGGAGGATGGCAGAAAGGACCCGTGGTGAGCCACGGACACCCCACGCCTCACAGGCCCTTCCCCAGCCCTTTTTCCAAAGAGCACCCACAGGCAAAGGGAGACACTGCCCTGCAACCCGCAAAACTTACCACCAGCCCCTAAGAACTAGAATCAAACTGTAAGTTTTGGCCACACTGAGGGTGTCTAAGAATTTTTTTTTTTTTTTTTTTTTTTTTTTAACGGCGTCCGTCAGCCAGGCAGCAGCACGTTCCTCCCAGTGCTTTAGGACACGGTCCTGCTGAGCAAGCGAAACAAGGATGAGAGTACACGCTCGGAGCAGGGCAGAAACTCCAGCAATTGAAGAGGGGGAAGCATGCTGCCAGGAGAGGCGGCAGCCAGCCCTCCCCGCGCGCCCCAGCTGTGCCAGACGGGGGGGTGAACGCCGTGGCAAGCCCACGGGACCTCGGGGGGGCTCCAACCAAGAGCCCCAGCAAAGCGAGCGCTCCCTCCTCCTGCGAGGAGCCGACTGGCAATCGTGGTGCTCACCGGCCAGGGGCGGCTTTTTCGCGCTTGCCGGCTGCAAACCGGCCATCGCTCGCAGCCTGGCAGCGGGGCTCAGCCACAGCTCCAGGCTTGTGAGGAGCAGCAGTGCCATAAATACCTTTCCCTGGGAGGCAGCATCCTCCCCAGGCGTTAGGGTAAGGCTGCTCTTGGTTTCGCAGCCGAAAAAACGCGAAGCAAACTACAACGGTCGAGCGCTGTTAACGCAGGAGGGGACCACAAGCGACGCGCAGGATTTTCAACTGAAGAGGTTGAGTTGGGGGGGGGGGGGGGGGGTTGTGTTAGAAATAAAGCGGCGTGGGGGAGACGTGGGGTGCTTCAAAGCCAGGCTGGAAACCAGCTCACAGCCCCCGTGGGTGTTGTGCCCCAGCCAAAATCCCGGGTTCCTCAGGCGAGGAAAATGGCGCTTCGGAGGCCAACAGGGAGAAACACGGTGCAGCCCCAGCGAGGGGAGGGGGGTTTGGGCCTGGTGGTTGGAATGGAAGGCTGGGAAGAGCGGCGGCCGGGGGGGGAAAAAAAAAAAAATAAAAAAAAAATAAAAATCAAAAAATCAAAATCAACCAGCTGCCCCTCGAAAGCCTCCGTGCCACCGCGGAGGACGGGTGTCGCTGCACGGAGGGTGGCACGATGGGGCGGGGGGGGGGCGGAATGAGACAGTTTCCACGGGTGGGAGCCGGCTGCGGGTTGTTTTTTTGTTGTGTTTTTTTTTTTTTTTTCTTTCTTTCTTTTTTTTTTTTTTTTTCCTCCCAGTTATGACGGGCTCGGATTTCACGCGGGGGGGGTGGGGGTGTGTGTGGAAAAAATCCAAACCAACCAACCCACCCGCTGCTGCTCCACGCAAAAGGCCTTTTCGGTGTCAGCCCGCAACCACGGGGCCGAGCCCCTGAGAGATTTGGGGGGGGGGGGGGGTTGCTCCAAGCGGCAAATGCCTGGCGCGTTTTTGCACCCCCCCGTTCCTTGAATCACGGCGCTCCCCCGTACCGGGGGGGGGGGGGGGGGGCGACTCCCGCCGCACAACGGGTGGTCGAATCACCGGGAATCGTGGAGGGGGGGGGGGAAGGACCAGGGCTACCCCCCCCCCCATCGGATCCGCATCCCCCGCGGATTTTTTTTTTTTTGTTGGTTTTTTTTTTTGGGGGGGGGGTACAGGGTGAGGAGCCCGGCCCCGCCCGCAACTCACCCAGCACCAGGAGCGCCCGCACCGCCGCCATCCTCCGCGCCGGCTCAAGGCGCCCCCCAGCCCCTGGCCATGCCGCCACCGCCCCGCCCCGCCCCGCGCGGCCGGGCGGGGCTTCCGGGGGGGCGGAGCGGCCACCGGAAACCGGGCGGGGCCCCCGGGGGTTTGGGGGGGGTCGGGGGGGGGGGGGGGGGGGGCGGAACGGAGCGGAGCGGGGCAGCCCCAGCGAAGCTTTTCCCCCGCTCTGTGCCGCTCCGAAAGCGGAGCGGGGGGGGCACCCAGGAGCATCGCCCCCCCCCCATCCCTCTGTGGGGGGCACCAGGAGCATCGCCCCCCCCCCCCATCCCTCTGTGGGGGGCACCTAGGAGCATCACCCCCCTCCCATCCCTCTGTGGGGGGCACCAGGAGCATCGCCCCCCCCCCATCCCTCTGTGGGGGGCACCAGGAGCATCACACACACCCCCCATCCCTCTGTGGGGGGCACCAGGAGCATCACCCCCCCCACCATCCCTCGGGGGGGGCACCTAGGAGCATCACCCCCCTCCCCATCCCTCTGTGGGGGGCACCAGGAGCATCACACACCCCCATCCCTCTGTGAAGCTTCCCCCCCCCCTCTGTGCTGCTCTGAAAGCAGAGCTGGGGGGCCACCTAGGAGCATCACCCCCCCATCCCTCTGTGGGGGGCACCTAGGAGCATCACCCCCCTCCCATCCTTCTGTGGGGGGCACCAGGAGCATCGCCCCCCCCCATCCCTCTGTGGGGGGCACCAGGAGCATCGCCCCCCTCCCATCCCTCCGTGGGGGGCACCAGGAGCATCACCGCCCCCTCCCATCCCTCCGTGGGGGGCACCAGGAGCATCACCGCCCCCTCCCATCCCTCCGTGGGGGGCACCAGGAGCATCACCCCCCTCCCCATCCCTCTGTGGGGGGCACCAGGAGCATCGCCCCCCTCCCATCCCTCCGTGGGGGGCACCAGGAGCATCGCCCCCCTCCCATCCCTCCGTGGGGGGCACCAGGAGCATCACACACACCCCCCATCCCTCCGTGGGGGGCACCAGGAGCATCACCCCCCCCACCATCCCTCTGTGGGGGGCACCAGGAGCATCACCCCCCCCACCATCCCTCGCGGGGGGCACCTAGGAGCATCACCCCCCTCCCCATCCCTCTGTGGTGGGCACCAGGAGCATCGCCCCCCCCCATCCCTCTGTGGGGGGCACCTAGGAGCATCACCCCCCCCCCCATCCCTCTGTGGGGGGCACCAGGAGCATCACACACCCCCATCCCTCTGTGAAGCTTCCCCCCCCCTCTGTGCCGCTCCGAAAGCGGAGCTGGGGGGCCACCTAGGAGCAACACCCCCCCCCCCCCATCCCTCTGTGAAGCTTCCCCCCGCTCTGTGCTGCTCTGAAAGCAGAGCTGGGGGGCCACCTAGGAGCATCACCCCCCCATCCCTCTGTGGGGGGCACCTAGGGGCATCACCCCCCCATCCCTCTGTGGGGGGCACCTAGGAGCATCACCCCCCTCCCATCCTTCTGTGGGGGGCACCAGGAGCATCACCCCCCTCCCATCCTTCTGTGGGGGCACCAGGAGCATCGCCCCCTCCCATCCCTCTGTGGGGGGCACCAGGAGCATCACCCCCCCCCATCCCTCTGTGAAGCTTCCCCCCCGCTCTGTGCCGCTCCGAAAGCGGAGCTGGGGGGCCACCTAGGAGCATCACCTCCCATCCCTCCGTGGGGGGCGCCTAGGAGCATCAGCCCCCCGCCCCCAATCCCTCTGTAAAGCTTCCCCCCCCTCTGTGCCACTCCAAAAGCGGAGCTGGGGGGCCACCTAGGAGCATCACCCCCCCATCCCTCCGTGGGGGGCACCAGGAGCATCGCCCCCCCCCATCCCTCCGTGGGGGGCACCAGGAGCATCACACACACCCCCCCCCGTCCCTCTGTGAAACTTCCCCCCCCCTCTGTGCCGCTCCGAAAGCAGATGCTGAAGGGCCTGGCGCGGCGAAGCCCGAATGGGACCCCTGCACCGTTCCCAGAGCCCTGGGGGAAGGAGCACTGCTTGCACAGCAATCCGCTCTCCTCGGGAAGCCACCACCACCACCAGCTGGTTCTGGGTCCCGCTTGCGGCTGGGGACCAAGGAACCTCGGAGGAAGGGGTATCCCGCTCAGCAACCTCTAAAGAAAGCAAGCCCGCTTCCTCCCGCGGGCGCGGGGCGAGCAGGCGGCGCGCGGCGGATGTACGAGGGCCTCTCTCCCCGTCCCACGCGCACGCCGGCCGGGCTTCGCTCTCCCGCCGCCGCCCACCCGCCCGGCTTCACGCGTGGGGAGCTGCTTCTCCTCCTCCCCCCCGCCGAGCGCAGTGCCGCACGGCCAGGCGTCACCCGCTCGCTCTTCTCCGAGGAGCGTTTGTGGCACCCACGCTGCAGGCTGCCACGGCCCCCCCCCCCCCCCAGCCCTACCCGCCTTCAGTGCCCCAGGGACAAGACGCCCGGGGAAATGGCTGTCTGCTCTTGCTGTCCCAGCCCAGACTTTGCCCGAAGCTTCTTCGCTTCCTCGGACGGAACGCGCTGGGCTCCGCTCTCCCCGCGGCCACAGGCTGGGGAGCCACAGGGCGAGCCAGCCCGGCCAGGGCAGCGAAAAGCATCTGCCCGGAGAATGGAGTTGGCAGAAGCCACCTGCTCTCCTTGGGCAGCAAGACCACAGAGCTGGCCCGGATTTTTCCCCCCTTTCCGGCTGCGCCGCAGGGCCAAAGGGTCCGAGTGGGAGCAGCAGCGGGAGGCGAGGAGCGCAGCCGGCCTCGTCCCAGCATGAGGAAACCGCGTTGGGACCCGGGTGAGAAGCGGCCGCAAGTCCCTCCGCGCCAAAGCCGGTTCAAGCACACGGCTGCGAAAGCACAGCGGCTCCTGCAGCCAACCAGCACGACGTGCGGTCACGTTTGAATTCTCAGACCAAAATCGGGCGTCCACGTGCAACACGAAGGAGCCAGCTTTTTGCGCAGAGGAAGAATGAGGCTAGAGCAGACCCCGTCCTGCAGAAAACCACCTCACCTGCAGGAGAGCGTGGCCACGGGCGTCTGCAGCAGCGGGGTAAGCAGCCTGTGCAGCAAAACAGAGGCTGTGCCTGTCCGAGCGTGAGGCCATGACCTCAGCAAACATTAGAGCCCTTCTAACTAGGCACAGCTTTGCAGCCTGGAGCATCTTGAGGAGCGAGGCTCTTCCCGAGCCAACCCCCCCCATCCCCACCACCAGCGATCTGCAACGCTCTGAGCTGGGTTTATTTACTGTTGGCACGGCTAGCTTCCCCCAGGAGGGCACGACAGGATTCACGGACGTGAAACTCGCTGGTCGATGCACAAAACCACGCGCGGCGGTGCCACTGCTGCTGCTGTCAGGTCCCGTCCCTCTCAGCTTACAGCAGGCCTGCAAACCAGCACCCACAGCTGATGGGCGAAGGCTGCCAGCACCCTGGGCCTGGCTGAGGGACGGTGAGTGACAGCCAGGGAGGCACCCAACAGTCCAAAGACAGCCACTCCCGACAGGAAACATTCAGGATCCAGGTTTCGCTTGTGGTTTCTTTTTCCCCTTCCCCCTGCAAACCCCACCAGCCCCGCAGCAGCATCTCAGCGGCTCTGGTTCAGGACAACCAGCCACGCTCACCAGAAGCGGGACCCAGACAGAGCCCCACAACCTCGTACACAGTCTTCTACACACCATCAGCTCGGGACTCTGCCAACCACCAGCCCGAAGCGGCACCGCCCTGCAACTCCAGCTCAGAGCTGAGAGGCGGCCAGCTCAGGCTAGCACGCGGCACGAGCCCACACAATTACTGCTTTACACGAGCCCCCACCCCACGCTCGCGCAGGGAGGGGGCTGCAGAGGCTCTCGGCTGGTCCCTACGGGGGGGGGGGGGGGGAAGTGAAACGCAGACCAAGCAGCTTTACCCCCTCACGGGGCAAAGCACAAGCCCACCCCGCGGCCTCCCGCTGTGCCACCCTGTGGGCGGCCAGCGGGTCAGGATGTGCATTCGTTGCTTTTGGGTCAGGATGTGCATTCGTTGCTTTTGGGTCAGGATGTGCATTCGTTGCTTTTGGGTCAGGATGTGCATTCGTTGCTTTTGGGTCAGGATGTGCATTCGTTGCTTTTGGGTCAGGATGTGCGTTCGTTGCTTTTGGGTCAGAACTGCCATCTCGCACCGGGTCTGTGGTCAGGGAGGAGGCTCGCTCACTCCGCTCGGCAGATGAACCAGATCTCATTGCGGCGCTGAGGGACGCTGGGGTTTTCGTACGTAGCCACGATGTAGGTGTCCGAGAGCACCGTGTCTGCGCAGCCCAAGAGCTCCCAGAGGAGGCTGATCTCGCGCAGAATCGTCTCCTCGGTGGTCATCCCATAGAAAACCCTGCAGCAAAGGGAGCAACGTGAGCGACAGGGACAGCACATTCCCCCCTTTCCCACCGGCTCAAGGAACCACAGCAGCCACGCGGGACGTTCATACACCTCTGCTGAGCCAACACACCCCCGAGCGCTGGGGTCACCTGGTTATAACCCGGAGCGGTGCCCTCTCGGTGACGTGGATGTCGGGGTCCAGGGGAACAGGAGGGTTTTGCTGAAACTCCCCTGGGAGATAATACGCAGTGATGACCTCACGTTCCAGCTTGGTCCTCTCCTTGGTCAGGCGGATTTCGGTGAGCACTGGGACTGTCATACCCAGGTAGCAACCTGGGAGGAGACAGGGAGGCAGCGGGCACGGTGAGACGGCCGGGTCAGTGGCGGCGGCCCTCCTCCCCACCCCAGATGAAAAGCAGCAGCCCCCCCTCCAGCCCCTGCCCGCACACACCTACAGAGTTCTCCTGGCAGATGTAGCGCATGAGCTTCATGAAGCTCAGGGAGATGCTCTGCTCATACGCGGGCTCCCCCTTGGTGACACACGCCCACTTCCCAGCCGGGTACCGCCGCTCCTCGTAGGCTCCCTCCTCACACTGAAACAGGCCACAGACAAGCCGAGTCGGAGTTAAGCTGCCAACGCTGGGAAAAACTAACACCGACAGGCAGGGAGCAGGGGAGGCAGGACCCTGCCAAAATGAGACACCCCCCCCGGCTCGTTAGTGATGGGCAGGGGAGGCCAGAGAAGGCGAGGGGAGCTGGCATCACGCGCGGCTCAGACACTCGCCACTTACACAGCACGGGGCAAAAGTCAGTGAAAGGAAAAGCCCGGAGAGGGGAGGGGGTGCAGGGAGGCTCAGAGGCTCCTGGCACGCACAAGGAACGCACACCCTCAGCAGGAGGCACAGGACTTTCTGCTCCTCTCCAGTCGCTGTCCTGCCTGCTCACAAGGGTGTTCCTGATTCCGGGGCGTCCAAAGGTTGACGTTACTCTCAGGTGCAGTGCCTCTTTCCTGGAGCACTGCATGCCTCAGAATGTAATAAGCAAAAAGCCTCCTGCCCAGTGGAAGGGAAAGTCTGGCAGAAGAGCTCTAGCACCCAGAAGAGCTGTGAAGGTTGGAACAAAACTCCTCTCAGATCCTTCTCCCACACTAAGATGCGACAGGAGGAAGAAGAGACGTGAACCCAGCTGGTACAGAAGGGAGAGCTTTGTAGGATGGGTCAGAATCTCTATATCCAGGACAGATGCCCAGACTTCTAGACAAACCCAACACAGAAGGGGAGCAGGGGGAGTGGGGAAATTGCATCTGAATCTGCTCGTGGTTCAGCTCATGGCATGGTTCTAACCACAGGTGCCGCATAAAGAGGGGCTGGGAAGTTGCAGCTAGCACCTATCTCCCCGCTCTCAGCTCGTTCTGCAGTCAGATTAGAGCGGTCACGAGACAACTTTATTCCACGGAGCTCAGGGCACCTCTCCAAACATCTGTGCTCCACAGCTGCTCCGGCAGCGAGCGAGACAGAAAGCTGCGACCGGTCTCAGCATCGCGTGCAGCCCTCCCCGTGCCTCCACCCAAACCAGGTCTCTACTCAGAAAGCCAAACCGAAGGCAGAAGGAAAATATCGGGACTGCTCACATGCATCCGCGGGGTGCCAGGTAGAAGGCTGCCCCAGAACACAGCAGGGATGACCCCATCTGGCCTGCAATCGTCCCACCAAGCAAAACAGAGCAAGAGCGTTTTCCAAGCAAGGAAACCGCCAGTCCCTCTAGATTATTTGTTTTACCTGCCACACCACCTGCGAATAAACCTATCAACCCAGCAAGGCTTAGTATCTGGTCCTTCCACAGCCTGATCCTTATAATAAGCACCACCGCTCTGGAAGATTAGACTTGACCACGAGAAAGAGTGAAGACGCTTCACACACATCCAGTGGCCACAGGTCCCTGCAACGAGCGGGGGAATCTGGCTGAGTACAGACAGAGCAAGGCTCTGTAGGTGGCATAATAATTTACCTGCCTCCAAGGGGATGAGAGCTTGACAGCTCAGGAGGAATCAAACGCTACCGGCCTGCCCAAGCCTGGGAAATGGGTCTTAAGGGGCCCCAGGTCCAGTCCCCTCAGCACTAGTGACAAGGAAGCAGCTCCCATCTCCTCACCCAGAGTCAAACTCCAAGAATACCTGCTCAGGCACAGGGGGCATGCCAAAAACCACCAAAAAATATTCATGCCCCATTCCCACCTGGGAGCGGCATAGGGAGAGAAGAGCCCAGACTAAGTCCCTAGGACCTAGAAGAAGAGGGAGTGGGGTGAAGTGCCAGCTCAGAGCCCTACAACCCACATGTTCAGGTTGTGTTTTGCAGGCAGGAGTGCTAAACCTCAGCCCAGAAGAAACCGGTTAAGCTCTCCTCGTAGAGAGGACAACTGGCAGATGTCTTCTTGGTAGCAAGCCCAACCGAGCCTGCAGAGACACGGGAACCAGTCTGACAAGCACTTCTTCACAGGTATTTCTCAAAGCTCAGAAGCACCCTTCTGTGCCAGGGAGGAGGGGAGACGTGCAATTTGGCAGCAAGCACGGGAGAGCTTCAGGCAGAAGCCACCGCGTTTGGATGGGCAGTTGTGACAAACGACGTGTGCTCAGGTCTGTGTTCCCCTACCTTGTGCCAGCTGAGGTCTCCAGCTCAGCCAGCGGTCACTTAACGAGCCCAAACCCAACAGGACTTTGGGCTATGCAACAAGGGGTTTTGAGCAAGGCAGGGAGCAGACTCTGAACTGAAAACCCCACTCTCTTGGTTGTGCGCACCCCAGCAGAGGATAGGCTGGTAAAGCAGGCAGCTGGAAGTCAGGAGACCGGAGAAAGCAGCAAGACTAGTCCAACTTTCAAATCAAGGCTGGGAAACTGAGCAGTGCCGTGACTCGAGGCAGAAGATGCAGGAACAGCAGAACGCTGCTCCAACCCAGAGCGGCCGTGCTTCTGCAGAAACCTCCCCGAGGCCGGTGTCCGGGAGCTGAGGTGGGGTCACCTCCTCTGCAAGGAAAGGGCTCTTGCTGCTCCTCGCTGCAGGCGGGGGGGGGGGGGGCTGGAGGGTGGGCAGGCAGGAGGGTGGGGGGGCAAGGCTGGAGGGCCGGGGGGGCAGGAGGGAGGTGGGGGGGCAAGGCTGGAGGGCCGGGGGGGACAGGCTGGAGGGCCGGGGGGGACGGGCAGGAGGGCCGGGGGGGACGGGCAGGAGGGCCGGGGGGGACGGGCAGGAGGGCCGGGGGGGGCGGGCAGGAGGGCCGGGGGGGGCGGGCAGGAGGGCCGGGGGGGGCGGGCAGGAGGGCCGGGGGGGCAGGAGGGAGGGCCGGGGGGCAGGAGGGAGGTGGGGGGACAAGGCTGGAGGGCCAGGCAGGAGGGCCGGGGGGCAGGAGGGAGGGCCGGGGGGCAGGAGGGAGGTGGGGGGACAAGGCTGGAGGGCCAGGCAGGAGGGCCGGGGGGCAGGAGGGAGGGCCGGGGGGCAGGAGGGAGGTGGGGGGACAAGGCTGGAGGGCCAGGCAGGAGGGCCGGGGGGGTGGGCAGGAGGGCCGGGCAGGAGGGCCGGGGGCAGGCGGTCCGGGGGGCAGGCGGGAGGGCCGGGGGGCAGGAGGGCCGGGGGGCAGGCGGGAGGGCCGGGGGGCAGGCGGGCCGGCCGGGGGGCAGGCGGGAGGGCCGGGGGGGGCAGGCGGGAGGGCCGGGGGGGGCAGGCGGGAGGGCCGGGGGGGGCAGGCGGGAGGGCCGGGGGGCAGGCGGGAGGGCCGGGGGGCAGGCGGGAGGGCCGGGGGGGGCAGGCGGGCCGGGGGCAGGCGGGAGGGCCGGGGGGCAGGCGGGAGGGCCGGGGGGCAGGCGGTCGGGCCGGGGGGGCAGGCAGGCCGGGCTCGGGCAGCGGCTGAGAACCCGGGCGCGCAGGGAAGCGCCGGCCTCACCTTCCCAGGCTGCGGGAGGGGAACGCAGGGCACGGGCTCCCGCGCCTGCCTGTGCCGGGTCATCTGGAGGATCGGGCCCGCCATGTCTGCAAAGGCAAAGCGCGGGAGAGGCGAGGCTCGCGCCGGCCGGGCGGCCGCGGGAACGCCGCGGCAAAAAATAAACAAATAAAAAAAATAAATAAGGCCCCCCCCCCCCCCCCCCCCCCCCCCCCCGGCGCTCACCCCGGGGCAGGCTCACTCGGTGCGAGCTGGCGACGGCCTGCCAGCGTGCGAACAGCCGGCCCCGCTCCTGCTCCTCGCCGCCATCCTCCTCCTCTTCCTCCTCGCCCGGCCTGACGGCCGCCATCACCCCCCCCCACCCCCCCCCTTCTTCCCGGAAGCCAGCGGGCATCGCCCCGCCCCCCCGGTGACGTCAACACCCCATCCACGGCCCGAGCGCGCTCGCTTCTAATATCGGATTTTATTTATTAAAGTACAGCAATTAACCGGCTGAAAGGGCGGGGGGGGGGTGTGTGTGGGGGGGGTGTGTGTATCATCAACCGCCCCACCCCACCCCACCCCCAGGACTGGGCAGGGATCGGGGCGCTCCCGCCTGTGCCCCCCCCCCCCGCCTTTACCCTCCCTCGCCGCTTGGCTAGCGTTTGCGAGCGGTGGCGAGCGTGCTGCCACCGAAGCTGCCAGCCCGGGGAGGGGGGTGCAGCGGAGGAGCATGCATATGGGGGGGTGGGGGTGCGGTTCCCAAACTAGCTAGGACCTTCCCCCCCCCCCCACTCCCCCCCTCCCCTCCCTATTATCCCCCAGCGCTCCAGGCTGGCCGGGCTGGGATGAGAGGGTGGTGAGGCGGATGGCTGGGGGGGGGGGGGTGGGAAAAAAAAAAAAAAAAAGAGAAATTGAGGTGGGGAGGGTGGTGGGTGCCGCCCTGCGGCGGCAGCGGAGCAGCCCAGGGGCGAGGCCGGGGTGTCTTTGGGGGGGGGGGGGGGGTGTCGGAGTCAGTTGGAGGAGAGCAGGGAGCTGTGGGAGGACAGGTCCATGCTGCTGGCGCTGAGGCCTCTGCTCTCTGCACGGAGGCCTTGGGTGCCCTGGAAAACACAGCACCCGTCAGGACCTGCGATTCACACCACCCCCCCAGACCCCCCCCCCCCCCCCCAAAGCCGCCAGCCCACCAGCAGCACCCTGTAAACCCGGATTCCCCCCCCCCCCATTCCCCTCACCACCACCACGCCGTGAGTTGCCATCTCTACCCTCCCCGCTCCCATCCCGCGGCCGGAGGGTTTCTGAGCTCCGCGGCGCGCGTGGTGGTTAACTGGGGTACGGTGGGGGTGTTTGGGAGGGGGGGTGGGTGGTACCAGCCCACCCCTTGGGAAAGCAGAGTAGCTCCGGCCCCTCGGTGTGGCCCACCCGGACCTCTCGCCACCCGTGTTGCTGGCCACTGTCCCCACAGCCAGCTGCGGCCACACCGCCCCCCCACCCCGCGCTTACCTCGAAGGAAGCATCGCTAGACTTGTGCAGGTAATTTAGTGACGCAGCTCGTTTCATGCTACGAGAAAACAGAGGAGAGCGGGGTGTGATCTTGTCGCCCCCCGGGTCAGATGACAAACCAACCCCCCCCCACCCCGCCCCGAGGCAGCAGGGCCCCCCACGCAGCCTGGTCCCTACCTGGTGTTCCTGGGCTCCAGGGGACCATTGCCCTGCAGTTTCTTGACCAACATCTCACTGCTCCTCCGTATCACATCACGGATTTTCCCCAGGGAGCTGCTGCGCTGGAGGGTGCCACTGCCATCCTGGACACAGAGACACAAGCCGGGGTGACGGCTGAGCGGCACCGATCGGGCCCTGTCACGCCGCGGATGGGTGGCCAGGAGCCGGGCTTGGCTCCAAAAACCATCTCGCCCACTTGCCCTGAGGATTCAGCTCCGGCCCACGAGCAGGCTGACTGCTCGCCGCGCGGCTCCCCCCTCTCACCCCGGTGACACCGGGACTCCCACCACCACGGCCTGCCTCACCCAGACCGACCCTCGATCCTCCCTCCTGCCCGGCGCAAGCCCAACGCCCGGCCAGGCTGCCGCCCTGCACCAGAACACCAGCACCAACGCCACCGCCATCCCCACAGCCCTCCTCAAACGTGGCATAGCTCCGTCACCTCAGGCAGCAGCTACCAAGGAGGTCCCAGTGGCCCTGAGGGGCGACCCGAGCTTGGGGGGTACTTTTGTCAGGCCAGCGCATTCATTTCAAGGACTTCCTCCTCATTTGCTGCTTGCTGGAGACTATCCTCCCCTCCCCTCACCCTTCCTCACCGTGCCATTGCTATTCCTCCCCTCGCCCTGATTCACATCCTGGTCTTGCCTACGCCAGGCCTGCGGGTTCCTGCACGTCAGGCAAAACCAGTCCACACGCACACGCGGCTTCGTCCCACCTCTGGCACCCCCGAGACAACTGGCTGTGACCCTGCTGAGCAATTCAGGCAGCTCCAGCTGGGAGGCTTTCATCTGGCTGCCCCCCAACGCTCTGCTGTCAAGCTTTCCTCAGCCCCCCAACATCAGCTGTGCCCGGCCCCGCTAGCCCCAGGGTGGCAGGTTTACTTTACAGCTGCCTGCTTTTTCCAAAGACCAAAACCAGCCCTAAACCTTGCTCCCCAGCCTGTTTCCTCCCACGTGCCCCCCAAAAGCCCCCAGCGCTCAGAAATTTCTCGCTCCTCACGCAAGGCACGGGCTGCCAGCGTTTCACGACCTCGCGCCACCGTGCCATTCCAGCACACCAAGCTCTTCCCCCGTGGCCAAGCACGCTCCTTGCACGAAGCTCTGGCACCACTGCTCATGTGGAGTTGCTTTTGCTCTGAGGGCCTGATAACAGCAGTCCTCCCTGCTCCCGATCCCACGGCCCCTGGCACATCGAAAGCAGAAGAAACAGAGAGAGGGTGACCGCAAAAGCCTTTTGCTCCTTACGAGCCTGCGTGGGAGCCCCTTTGTACCACTCCAAATGAGCAAAACGCCCTGTGGCCCAGGCTGGCAGCAGCAATTGCTGCAGGAGTGCCCGTGCAGCTAAGCAGGGTCTCGGCCTTAGGCCAGTCACTCCCCCGTGCCGACCACCAAGGGTTGTGGCTCTGGGGAAGGCTTTTCCCCACCACTTCCCCGTTCTGATAACCCAAAGCTGATCCAGCCCTAGACCCCTCTCTCCGACAGCTGAGCAGGGCTTTTCCTACCAGCAAACCTTTTTCCTGGTACCCGTCTTGGACAAGCTAAGTGCCTTGAACCGCTTCGCTTTCTCATCAGGACGAGGGGGTTTCCAAACTGGGAGCCACACGCTGTTACGGCAAGGGACCTACTCACCAGGAACGCAGAGCACCAAGAGCATGAGCAAGGTAAACAGTTCAGCTCCTGCACCAGGCACCCCGGGCAGGTTTTGGAGGAGCTAGCCATCAGTATGTGGCACCAGCAAAAGGAGGGATGGGCTGTCTTTTGTCTCCCCACCAGACTAGCACTAGGACACCACCGTCCCTTGCAGGGTCCTGCCATGCCAGGCACCGTTCCTCTCGCCAGGGTACGCCAGCCAGGGGTGGGGAAGGGAACACAGCTGGGGCAGGGGAGCAGGACCGTGGTACGGGGACAGCAGGATCCGGCCAGGGAGTATGCTCTGGGGGCAGGGCTGGAGGATGGAGCCACATTTCCCCAGCTGCAGTGATGCAGGCCAACGCCAGAACCAAAGGCTGCTGCGTGCCGAGTTAAATATAGCCTCCCTTCTCTCTCCCTTCCCTTTCCCGCAGGGTTATTTTTAACCCAGCACATGTATGGGGCTTGGTTCACTGCGAAGCCCCCCCACCCCAACAGCACCCATCAGGATGAGAGCACTCGAAGGCGAAGCAGCAGCTCCACCACCGAGCTGTTCTCCGCTGCGTGCTCCCACCCTGGCAGGGGACTCGGGAAGGATCGGGCAGCACATGGAGCTGGGCTATTTCTCTGGCTGATGGAAACACCCGCTGGCGAAGGCAGAAGCTCGGATGCCCCAGGGCAGCCCCGCCACACACAGCTACAGAGCTGAGGTCAGCCGTAACCCCAGCTGGAAGGTTAGGAAGAAGCACAGTGGAGTTGGGCCCCTCACGTCCAATGCTCAGCCTAGAAGAGGTGCCCTGGGGGCCGCACGTCCCCCCCCCCCCCCACACACACACCGAGCACTCCCCACACCTGCTCCAGCAGCAATTGCACCCGCCACCCCAGGGCTGACCGATGCTGGGCCTAGAGAGCGTGGAAAGAAGCACAGGGCAGCGGTTTGGGTCTGTCTGCCTTTAATCAGAGGTACGGTCGTTACAGCACCAGGTCCAGGCCATGGCAGAGCACAGGGGCAGGTGGCACCCAGGCCTGAATGCACCCTGCAACTGGGGACTCGCCCCTCTCCAGGAGCGTGGAGCAGCACTGGCAGAGGGAGGCAGCGAAGGTGCAGCGCTGGAGCACCCAGCCCTGGGCTCCGTACCCCGCCGCCCTTTCAGCAAGCACAAGCTCCCAGGAGAGCAGCATGCAGGTGCCCCAAAGGCCTCTGTACCACCCTGGGAAAGCCAGGCCCAGACAGACACAAGCACACAACCTACCAGACAACTAGCATGAGAGAAACTACCTAGCTAAATAAATAAGGGGGCATCCTGCACTGGCCTCCAGGCTCTATCCCGCTGGCTGCGGCCTCCCCAGCTTTCTTCCCAGGCAGGAGGGCCAGGGAGGTTCACTTCCTAGAGGAGGTGGGATGAGGGTGTGCACCCAAGGGCGCGAGGCTCAAGGCAGTGGCAGTCTGGCCCTGGGAAACATCCCTTTTTCCAGTAGTGACCAACAGCACCAGACCCTGTGCAGGCCTGGAGTCCCGTTAAGACACCGGGCCACGCACGCACACATCGGGGCTCAGCGCTGCTTTCCTGGCAATTACAGGGTTACAGCTTTGCAGGGTTACTGCCCTCCTCCATGAGCAACCTGGCTCCTTCTCCCGTGGAAACCTCCCTCCAGCCATCCCATCTGTCCCCCCAGGCTCAGAGCACTCAAACTCCTGCTCCTCCTTCCTTCGCATCCTCCTTTGCACCTCCTTTTTCCCCCCAACCACTCTGCTCCAAACCAGCCCGTTCCCCATCTCGGCCGCTTCTAAGGGCCTGGGGTCTGGCCCCTTCCAGAGAAGTTCTGCTTTCCTCCTACTCTTCCTCTGCCTCCAAAGAACAGCAAACACCTTCACCCCTCTCTCCCTCTCCCAGCAGCCACATCTGGGGACCCTGGAGCAACGGGGAGCTGATTCACCCCTTAATGCCATTAGGTGAGGAACTCTGCTACAGCATCAGGCTGCAACAAAGCATGCTTGTCCTGGCAGGTCCCTGTTCCACTCGTGGCCCTTGGCTGCCACCCCCCCTCACACCTCCTCTTGGATGTACAGTAGCTATGGGCTGCCCTACATCCCCGTGCCCCTGCAGAGACCCCCACGTGCTGCCCTTTGGGTTGCAGAGCTCAGCAGGGAGGAGGACAGCAAGACAGGGACTGCCCTGTGTTGCAGGGAGAGCCCAGCTCACCAGTGGCCAGCGCAGGTTTGCTACAGTGCACTAACATCAGCTAAAGCCTACGGGGAAGAAAGCAACTGGGCACACTGTCCCAGAACACCAGAACAGCCCCCCCCCCCCCCCCCCCCCCATCTTCACGCCTCCGTCCTGGCCTCTGCAGAGCTGGAGGAAGCGAGCTAGGAAGGTTGAGGATGTCTAATGACAGTGGAGTCAGCACGCCTGGAGTGAAGACAATCCCCCCCTCAGGCCTGGTCCCCAGGGATGTGTGAGGGCAGGCTGGGGGTAGGGGCACGCAAGGGGACGGTGGCCCGTCACCCTGGCCTGGGGGAGTGGGCAGCTCCTCGCAGATTCTTCCTGCTCTTGCTAGCCACGGGACTGGAGCTGGGGCCGCGGGGCCAGGCACTCCTCTGCAGGCATCGCGGTGCCCTCGCGCGTCGGGAGGGTTGGGGGACTGGCGTAGAGTTCTTGCCGAGGAAGGAGGGATGGTGTGGAGGAAAAGTCGGAGGATACAACACAAACATCCAGGTGATTGCGGTGGAGGGGAAAGAGGGAGTCTCGGGAGGCATTTAAGCCTAGTGCACAGAGAGGAGAAAGACACAATTTACAAGGCCGTGAGGTTGCAGGTCACCCAGGGAGCAGGTGGGGCAGGACCCAGGCTGCATGCAGAGACAAGGGGCCGTGTCCGGGCAGGGAAGGAGTCTTGTGAGGCTGAAACTGCGGGCTCACATCTTTGCCAGCGTGTTCTAGCAGGCTGATAGGAACAGCTAGCTCCGGGAGTAACAGCCTGGGCCTCCTGCTCCTGGGCACGGGGCACCTGCCTAAGGCCTCGGCGCCGCTGAGCTGGTGCCATCCCTGCTCTCCCAACCCAGTTACCCAGGCAGCAAGTCCAGGTCCTGGGGTGCTTCCAGAGCTGCCCTTGGCAGCTAGAGCACAGGGGTTGTTGGCCCCCCTGGGGGGGGTCCCACAGCCCTGCCCGCAGCAGCTGACAGCTAAGGGGTGACAGCAGATCCTGCCCTGAGGCAGCACGGCCAAGGTCTCTAGACCGGCACGAGGAACAACTGGCTGTAAGAGGCAGGAGCAGCGGGATCTGCTTCAGTCTTCTTTTGGGGGGAGCTGGAGCCCAGCGTGGGGCTGCTGACTGGGGAGAGGAGGCTGGCTATGAGTGCAGCAGGCTGGAAAAGGCACCGAGCACCATGTGGCAGCCACCGTGTTCCCCAGGGTGCTGGGCAAACCCTCAAACCCTCCATCGACAGCTGGCTGGGCCAGGAGAGCCCTGCCCAGACCCCGGGGGAAACGGTCATATGGACAGGGCCTATCCCCCTTGGCTGGGTCAGAGGGTGGCATTGCCTGCTTCCCTTGGGATGATCGGCTCAGAGACTGTCAGGGAGGTCTCCCAGACCATCACCAGTGCAAAGCAATCACCCACCACCAACCACAGCCAGGAGGAACCGCAGAGAGACACCAGGCAGGACAGGGACTAGGTGATCCTAATTAAAACCTGCAGCCCCTTCTGTGCTTGCCTAGCCCCTCTGCTAAGGGAGGGGGGTGCAAGCGCCCGAGGTCGGTGCCTTGCCAGGGCTAGGACCCTCTTCGCTCCTGGTGCCAAGAGCTGAGAGAGAGGACAGCCCTGCATCTGGGAGAGTTGCCAGACCCCCTCGAAGCTCTGCCCCCCAGGTCCCCTCCAGCCACCTCCTGGGTACAATCCACAATCAAGAGAGCCAGCAGACTTGAGGCTTAGGGTGTAGAGGGGCTGTCATGGCAGCAGGGAAGAGGAAGGAAGGAAGGGAACTCATGCAGGTGGGGATAGAGCTGAGCCAGGTGGGGAAGTGTTAGTGACGGCAGATGTGAGAGGGGAGCAAAGGACTCTGTGTGCACAGCCTGTCACCTGCACCAGGCTGCAACGACCCCCGGGCACCCAGCTACACTCCACTCTCAGCTAGAGTTTGCAGGAGGAACGGTAAGCGTTAGCAGCTCTAGTAGCCCTCGAGCCAAGCACCCACCAGCACCACGCTCACTTGCTGCCTCTCCTCCATCCTCCTCCACGCGGGAGACAAAAGGCACCTGTCCCAGACCTGGATCACTACCTTTCTCCAAACTCACCGCTAGTGACCAAAGTTTCCTCAACCTCAGAACAAGCCTAGACAGGCTCAGGTCGTCCCGCCTGTGCCTCAGCTAACACCGGCCTCTTTTGCCACCTCTTTGCCACTGGTCGGCCTGGCCTGGCATCCCACAGAGACCTGGCTTACCACCTCTGCTTGGCCAGAGCCCACGGAGAGCACGAGACCGGGAGAGGGGGACAGCAAAGACGCTGGCTGCAGATTATTCCGGTGCCCTGCAGTCACTCAGTCACAGACACACCAGGCACACACACCCCCCTCCCCAGGCTCAGCGTTGCCTGTGGGGCAGTGCAGGACAGACAGCCAAGTTGCTCACAAGAGGCTGTGAGGGCCTGAGATAGGGCCGATGCTCTCAGCCAGGGCCTCGAGAGGGGAGCAGCGGGGAGATGGGTTAATAAGGTTGCGAGGCTGAGATTAAGGGCATTGCCAGGGCCGGGCAGCCCCCTGGAAATAGGAGCCCCCCCCCCCCCCCCCCCCCCCCAAGTTGAGGCTATCTGGCCTGTACGCCAGAAGCCAGGCCCAGACACGCACCTTTGCAGGCTGGCTCATGCCGAGAAAGAGGGGAAGGAAGTGTGCAGGGAATAAACGGAGGCAGACAAGGATGCCACAACAGGCCACGCGGGGACAGCCCTGAGCCAGGCTGTCCCTTCCCTCTGGCAGCCGGCTGAGGCCATTCTTGATGGTGTCTTGTACTTACCCCGCTCCATTCCACGCCCATACTCACTTCCTCGCTACCGTCTGTGGCATTCTCGTACTTGACGCTGCCCCCCAGGCTCCGACGTCTCTCTGTGCCGTCGCCCTCCTTCAGGATCTCCACCACCTTTGTCTGGTTGATCGGGTCAATGCCCTGCAAGTAGAAAGGGATAAGGAAGCAGCGTGTTTTGCCCTTCTGTGTTCTTTCCCCTCTAGCGACCTGCTGTGCCACCGCAGTGCTTGGCCCCATCCTCTCGGCCGTTGCCTCACCACAGGCAAAATCCTCCAGTGCACAAAGGATGAAGCCAAACACCATACTGCACTTAGCAGCCCCTGTTAGGGTCGTCAGCTCAGCGAGCCCCCCAACAAGCCATGAATCAGCCTGGGGGGCGAAGGTCCCCAAAGCTGGCAGCTTCTTTTTTTTCTTAACATTTTGGTGCGTGAAGGTTTCTGCTGTCCTTCAGTCTTTGTGCTAAGTACTTACAGCTCCTGCTTTATTATGTGAGGATCGAGAGGAGGGTAGGGCGAGAGGTACTCTAAGAAATCCCTAGTGTGTTCCCTGGACCAAAAATTAGCAGGAAGAAAACATCCCAGTGAGGGCAGATCTCCTCAGTGGCTGACAAAGCCCAGTAACCTGCCCTAACCCAACTGCAGTATTAATGAACCTAAAGAGCCGTGCCTTCTTCTCCACATACTGCCATCTGCTCCGTCCACGCACACGCACGATCCCCCACAAATGGAACTCCCACCACCAAGGCGGTCTGCTCTCATGGGAACGTAAACCAAGGATATCAGAGCCTGCAAGGCCCAGGAGAGTCCCTCGCCACAGCCCAAGCCAAATGCTGCGGCACGACCTGCCAACCCCAAGCCTTGCAACGTGTCCCCCCCACCAAGGAAGGTCCCTCTGGGGTTACCTGCCGTCGAGAGCGAACTGCGCACTCCTCCAAGGTCTCGGCTGCCTCTAGCTTGCCCTGGCGTCGGTACAGCGCACCCAGGTTCCTCAGAGTGGTGTTCACAGTCGGGCTGTAGCAACAGATGGAAGATGAGCAGGGCCACCCCCCTGCAGAGCCCGCAGCTGCCCACAAACCACCTCTTACCTGCTAACCTTGCAGGCCTTGTACCAGCCACCGTACTCAGCGTAGGGAGCACTATCTCTGTGCTTGCTCTACAGGGTGAGGAGAGATGAGAGCTGTTAGCCCCGTGCCTGCTGTCATTCTCTGGCCTGGGCTCTCCGACCGGGTGCCAGGGCCAGGCCCCAGGCTGCACCCCCGCGCCAGCCCAGCCTCTGGCAACACGGCGCGCAAACGCGGTGAGGAAGCCCAGCGGGTTCCCAGAGGGAAAGCTGAAAGCTCATTTGCCGCACCAGATTTGGGCCACAAGTGATATTCCACTCCCCCAACCCCACCAAGGAGCCCCCCCTCTTCCATGGAACCAAAGGCAGCAGGGACAACACAGTCCATCTGCACGGTGCTCTGGAGGACATGACAGCCCACCCTCCCCGCAGCAGGCAAGAGAGACAAAAACCTCCAACCAACAAAAACCCCATCGGCATGCCAGGCAGCGTGGGCACTAAACCCCTCAGCCATGGCTAGCAAAGGAATCGGCTAGCCACATCCAAACCTTCTGCCTGCCCCGACGCAGCTCAGCCCAGCTAGCTGTCTCTTCTCCATGACCAGTCTTTGCACCCCCAAAGCTGGCTGGCTCGGCCCTGCCACAGCCAGGAGCAAAGAAGCTGCTGGCCAGAGCAACAGGAGAGGGGACAGAGCTTGATGCTCATAGAGAAATATCTAGAGCCGGGGCAACTCACTCTGCAGGGTGCTAGCCACTAGCCAGCATTGCCTTGGGTCAGCAGGGACCGTGGAACCTGCAGGCAGGAATCATTACTGCTGCAGGAAGGGCGGCTGCCTGTCCACACACTGCACACCCTGATGTGTGGTGAACACTTGGGGCTGTGCCATGCCCCTGGCGTCGCACCCACAGGACGCACGGGCTGGGCAAGAAGCAGCCAGCCCAGCCCCGAGCCCGGCAGGGCTGCTCTCACCAAGCAGGTGCAGGGTGCCACTGCTCCACGGCAGGAATTTCCCTCCGGCAAGGGCTCTAACCTAGAAGAAACTGTCTTCACAGGGTCCGTGTTTCTTATTTAGTCCCATGGCACTTCTCAGACCGTCACCCCACCCGCTGGAGTCTCCTCAGACATAGGCACATGTGGGTTTCCTTGCTTCAGAGCCTGGGCAGGCCCCAGGGGCAGGAGAGCTCAGGACTCAAAACACCTCCGAAGCATGCATAGAGGCAGCCCTAAGAGGGTGGCTGAACCCAAGGGGGAAGTGTCAAATCCCCCGGGGCAGAAAGAGCCTCACAGGACAGGGCTGCCAGCTGTGTCCGAGGCCCTACTCCTGGCAAGAGCTGGCCTCCCCCTGCTGCCACAGAGCCAGAGGGTTTGCCTTTTTTTTTTTTTTTTTTAAAAATAGGAGATGTGAAAACACAGCACAAAGTGGAGCACAGCAGTCCCAGCCCCCGGGCCAGCAGTACAAAGTACAAGCAGGTCTGTGGTTTCCACTGCCTGGCCAGGAAGGCCATGCCAACCATGCAGTGCCACAGGGAATGGGCACAGCTGCCCTGGGGACAGGGAGAGGGACACTCAGCCCTTGCCACAGGCTTTAAAAAAACAAATCTCACTCCAACTGTAGGTCCCTGAGCCCGTTCTCTTGCTCCATAGCAAAGCCTGAGCTATCCGGAGCATATCCACGCTACAACTATCTACTTTTAACCCTTTTAATTCTCCAAAGATACCATCAGAACGGTCTCAATCCCAAAGGGCACAAGGGGAGCCTGGTATCTACTCTGACTTTGATTTCTCCTGCACAGGATGGTGCTGCGGCGAGCGTAGGTTCTTTGCAGCAGGGCATTCACAGGGCAGCAACTGGAGCAGCGCGAGGCAGAGCTGAGCGCTGCCCTGCACTGGGGACCACACAGAGTGGTTTAATGGGAAGACACAGAGTGCTGGTGGGAGGCAGCTGCCCCTGCCCAGCTCTTAGGACTCGCAGGATGGGACTGGTCAATCACTAAGCCAAGCCTGCCAGCCTGCTGTCTGAGCCCATGTAGGGATGGGGCCTGCTCTAAGGGCAAAGGAAAAAAAAGCAGTGTCTGCTCCCACTGCAGCTAGGGGACTAGACCGGAGCCCTTCAGTCTTCAGCTTCACCCACCTGACAAAAAGCAGGAGAGATCTTAGGCTTGGAAAAAGCAGAGACAGGACTGTGCTGCATTTATCAGCTGAGCACAGAGCAGGGCCAAGGCAACAGGAGCAAGAGCTTCCTCGCCCCTCAGCCTAGTCAAAAGCAAGCAAAACCCACATCTATCTTCTTTTGCAGGCTGGCTAGGACACAGAACAGCTAGGGCCTGCCCTGAGAAGAGGTCTTTTTCAGGAGATTTGGCTCAGTTTCCTAAGCCAGGTGACGGCAGCAGTTTCTTCTTGACCTCCAGTTTTTCTCATGCAGCCTTAGAGCTGCTTCAGAAGCAGGTTGTGCTCTGGGCACGAGCAGCTCTCTGGTACAGAGCTCCAAGGCCCTGCAGCACAACCCTCTGCCATCCACCACCTTCCATCATACCTGTGCTCTGGAGGGATCACTAAAGCAAAAAGAGGGAGCGCGCAGCCACGGCCGAGAGGCTGAACAATCCCCTGCCCCAGGAAAAGCATCAAGCTCTCTGCTGGGCCTTCCCTCCCCGCTGCCCCAAGGAGCTGCCATGCTCTCTCCCCGCTCTCCAGACCCCTCCTGGCCTTCACCAGTGGCCATGGCAGCTCTTCAGACTGCAGGAAGGAGGGTCTGGCTGTGATAAGAGAGGATCAAAACCCCTGGAGCTCCTTCCCCTCCCAGGGCTCTTGCTACTATCAGCAGGCAGCACCAGCAGCTCCGACTCACCTTGCTCATCTCCTCTCTCTCCTCTGCATGCATCCAGATTGGCTTGTGCTCATCTGTAGGTGGAAGAACGCAAGACAGCTCCGCTCACCACCTCACCCTGTTGCTCTGATGCTTCCACCGGGGCTCTGCCTCCTGCACAGCCCAACTCTTTGTCCCCAGAGCCAGAAGCTCACCAAGAGGGAAGTGACAGGGCTTCCAGATCCCCCCGGTCCCCAAGCCAGAGTCACAAGAAAGGCGACCAACATTGCAAGGGCAGGACAGGGGAAGGAAGAAGCCTGGGCCAGGTATACAGGAGAAACTTCAGCCTACACCTGGGAATGATTGTGCCACTTGCTGTTCCCCCTTTTAGCCATGACTACTCCCAGCCCAGTAAAGACTGACAGCCAGAGCCCTCCAAGACCCCCTTCTGAGAGAAGAGGTTGAGCAGCATAACACACTAGAACGGCAGTGTCTCAAGGGCTGCCCAAAGCAGGGGCCCTGCCAGGCATCCCATCCCTCTGCCAGGGGGATAGCAGAACCAGCCAAGCCTAGGCTGAGAGCCAGAAGACCAAACTGCTCACCCTTCCCCAGCCCCAACAGCTTCTGCTGTACAAACCATCCACAGAGCCAAACTCCTTCACGTGGGCGCGGGTAAGGATCTCCTTATACAGCACCTCTGCATCTTTGTATTTGCCTTGCTTCAGGTAACAGGAGGCCTGCAACCAAGAAAAAAGCTCCAGCCCCACTGGGAAACACAGATTAACTCTGCCACCCTCTCGCAGCTATCATCTCTCTGTGACTTCCAAGCCACCAGGCAACGCTAACCTTTTCCATCGCACCTTTCCCCATCCCCACACGGCCTCTCCCCAGGGTCTCACCAGGTTGTTCTTGGTCTTGGCCACGTTGGGATCATCAGGACCCAGGCAGCTCTCGTAGATCTCCAGGGCCCGGCAGTAATAGTATTCCACCTCATCGTACTTGCCCTGGTTCTGGCACAGCAGGGCTAGGTTGTTCAGCTGCTTGGCCACATCAGGATGGTCTTTGCCTAGAACCTGGGTAAACAAAAGAAGAGAAACCACAAAAAGTCAACACTTAAAGACTACAGTGGACTCCTGGAGTTAATAGACACTGTAGTCCCTCCAATACATGCCTATGTCGGACAGGAGCCAAGGACTAGGGAGGTAAAGAGGAAAAATTTCCGCTTTCACCTCCTGGGAGGCCTCTCTAAGGCTAAAAACACTGGGGAGACAGGAAAGGTGGTAGCAGAATCAGCAGCTGAAGACACTAGGTAGGGTCCTGGGTCTCCCAGGTGCAGTGAGGTAATGGGGGAAAACCCTTAGGGAGAGCTGGAAGGAAGGAGAGAATGGGAGACCAGTACCTTCTCACGGATCTCCAGGGCTCGCTTACACAGTGGCTCTGCTTCTTTGTACTTCCCTCTCTTGCCGTAGAGAACAGCCAGATTGTTCAGAGTTGCTGCCACCTGCAGAGACATAAGCTTTTCCATGAAACAAAGCAGAATCCAGTGGGACCAAACAAGGGGTGCAAGCAACAATAACAGTGATCGTCCCGCTTCCTTCATGCCAGCGATACAGCTGCTTCTGAAGAGAAGGAGGTCCAGAGGCAGAAGGCTACCCTGCAGGATCCAGGAGAAGCCAACTGCTGGCAGGCCATACTGAACAAGACAGCAGGAAATATCGAAGCAGCAAAGCAGACCCCCCCAGCATGCGAGCAGCACCCCTCACATCACAGAGCACAGTGCTGTGCTTGGGAGCCCGGCTGTGGACGCACCACAAGGGCACTGTTCTAGCCCCAGCGGCACCTACAGGTCAAGGGAAGTGACTGAAAGAGGAAGGAGACACTCACCGCCGGGTGGTCTTTGCCCAGAGTCTTCTCACGGATGGAGAGAGCATCATTCAAGAGGTGTGCTGCCTCTTTGTATTTATTCTGATCCCTGCAACGCAAAGTCAACCACTTATTTGGTATCTGGACACCGCAGCCCATAGCAAGTGGAACTGCAAACAGCCCTCCTTCCTCACAGATCCAACCCCCACAGCCCTTATTTCACCATTCCTCCCTACGTTAGCCAGCCCTTAGTGATATCAGGGAGCCTGGCTGTCCAAATACCTCATCTGTGCCAAAACCTTTTTGAAAGGCACTAGGAGCTGTCACCAGAATGTGCTGTCCCGGTAAACGGGAGAGGGAGAAAGCTCTCCCGGCCCAGCCCTGCCCTCCCCGCCGTGCTCACCTGTACACCAGCGCCAGGATGTTGAGCATGGTGGCCACATCGGGGTGGTCGTGGCCTGATGTCTTCTCCAGGTCCTCCAGTGCCTGCTTGCAGAGCGGCACAGCCACCTCGTAGCGTCCCTGGGAGGCGTACTGGATGACAAGGTTGTGGAGGGTGCGCAAACGTGCGGGAATCTCGTAGCCTCCCTGCTGGGCAGCTGCCACTGCACTGCTGTGCTGGTGGGGCACTGCAGGCACAGAGGGATAAACAGGGGCACAGTTGGCACGGCACGTTTGAAGAGATACAGCCAGCAGCCATCCGTGAGCAAGCACTTACATCCAGGGCCATGCTCCTCCTCCTCATTCGGGAACAGATCATCCAGAGAGTCCTTGGCAGAGTCACCTTCCTTCTCCTCCTGAGAGGATGGGAATCACAATGCTAGCGGTTCTCAGAGGAGATGGCAGCAGCCTGGGCTGAGTCAGCTGCCAGACCCTCCTCCCTGCTGCAGCCCACCAACACCCTCAACTTCCCCTGTTGTCTTTGCCACCACCTTACACACACACACAACAAAACTTATACAGCCAAATTTCTGCAGCACACCCTGGCACGTTACTCCCTCTTCTTCCAGACTCCACCCCATGCAGGCTCCCTTCAGTGACAGGCATTGCTGTGCACGGTAGCTAGGAAGGGGCAAAATCCCAGGCAACGCCATCACACCTAGGCAATCCTGCTGGTCCAACCTCCCCCATCCCTGAAGGTGACTGCTCGACTAGGGCATACCGAAGGGGAGACATCCTCATCGTACTTCTTCAGCTGGTTCATGAACTCGAGGTGTTTCTTCTCCTCCTCCAGCTGAGCCACCGTTTGTTCACTGCGCTGCAGCTTCTGCTGGGTGTTGGCAAGCTCGTCGCGCAGCCACTGGTTCTCCTGGCACAGCCTCCGCACCTGAGCGCGCAGCTTCTGCTTCTCTGACTCCACGGCATTCAGATGGTTGGACAACGCCATCATCACCTTGTCAAGAGGCCCAGTCAGTACCTACCACAACCTGGCATCTCCCTCACATGCCCAGAGCCCACCCTCAGAGCCCCACCGGCTTTTCCACCTTCAGCCCCTTGCTGCCCCTGCAGCTCACAGGGAATGGCCACGTGCCTGCCTTCCCCTCTCAGTCCTGCGTAACACCTAGGGGGTCACCCACCACTCTCACCTGAGCTTCTCCGAGCCCCAGTTCGATCATTTCCACTGATTTGCGGAGCAGGTTGGATTTCTCATGCACAAGATTGGCTTCTTCATCTTTCTTCAGGCACTTGATGGTCTCCAGCAAGCTGTGCAGGATGGAGTTGTGTTCATTCTTGAGCGCCTCCAGCCCTTGCATCACCAGCTTGGTGTTGGAAATTATCTCCTCTTGGCTCAGCTTGTCCAGTTTCTCCTCCCTTGGGTACACCATGGTGGACATAATCCCGCTCCTGCAGCCCTACACAGTGAGAGACAAAAAGGTGAGTGCCTCAGTGCTGTTTCAGAGAGCCACAACCAGTGTCACAGTCTCCTTCAAGAAGCCAGAGACAGCCTTCAACTGGCTGCCTACTCTAAACCCTTCCGCTTCATCTTCCTCTCCCTTTGGCAGCAGGCAGCTCTCGTGGCACACGTCTCCGCTTTTGTGACACGGAGTGCTGGCAACCAGTGCAGGTGGCACACGTGGACAGGAGGCAAAAAGGCTAGAATCAGTGCTGACCTCCAAACCCCCCGCCCCCCCCCATACTCCCAGCAGCAAGGAAAGCTGATTTAGCTTCCATTTAAGAGCAGAGATTTGTAGTTGGCAGCTGGGGTTGCAATGCGTACACCTGCTGCCCATAAGACCACTGATGCAAGGAGGCTGTCAGAGCTCAACACCTCTTCTGACTGCAGAAGAAGGGGAATAGAAAGTGGAGGGATGCCAGCTGAAAACTTTCTACTTCCTCAATGGAAAAATCTTCTGGAAGACCATCTCTCAGACAAGGAGGCATCAGCGGCCTTACTGGGCCAAACAAGAAATTCCCTGACCAGCAGAGTACACCCCGACAATCCCAGCCCTGGCACAGAAAGGCCATTGTGTTGGATAAGGGACATAACACGGCCAGCATGAACTGAAGCAGGGCTGTGTGGGAAAGCTTACATACACCAACTGCTACAGTTATACTAGTGTAACCCTCGCGTTGGTGTCAGCTTGAAACACTGACAGCTTTTACAGCTTCACTCCCCTGCTGCCAGCCCGAGGATGCCATAAGGACTCTGTACCCCTTCCCTGCCCCATTCCCTCCAGATATACAACAGGAGAGTCCCAGGTTACTGCCTCTGCACAGGTACACCAAGTGCTACAACCCACAACGGTAGCGTGGCTGCAAGAGCCCTGCATAGAAAATCCAGGAGCTAGGCAAACACAGCAGGAGAGAGGGTGAGCGACATAAGAAGCAGGCAAGACCCCTTAGAGCAGGCTGACGGTACCCTGGCTTCTCCACGACTCGTCTAACCCTCTCTCAGCCTCCCCACCACCACAAGCTGGGCCACCCCAGCAGCCTCTTCACATTACTCAGCAACACAGCAGGAGAGCCACCACCTCTCTCGGTTATCGGTCACTCCAAGGGCAGCCTCCTGCAATGCCCTGCCCGGCAGCACCTCCTCGCTGCCCAGAGCCGGCAGCCTGAGCACCAAGGCCTTGCTGGCAGGAAGATGGCAAACTGCCCAGGCGCTATGCAGGAGGAGGTGAGGGAATAGCTGCCAACAGATTTGTCTTTGTCCTCCTGCAGGACCCACCTCTGCACGGTTGGAGCTCTTTGTTCCGCAGCAGCCTTGCGCCTGGTTTACTGAGCGAGCAGAAAAGCTGCCCCAGGTATGGGAGGAGAGAGCTGTGTGCTCTGCCTGGGGGGGCTCAGGGCAATCTCCCAGCTCCGCCACCGCTATCCCTGACCAGGAACAGGCCCCGAGCAATAGAAGGGTCCAGTTTCTTCCTCACTGCAGCACTGAAAGTGAAGACCAACAACGGTGCTGAGGCAGTTGCTCCAGGCATACACATCTCATTATGGCCACCCATTTCCTCCTCTTTAGCCTCACTCTTTCAGAAGTTCCTTGAGTCCTTTCATTTGCCTGAGCTCTCCCCTCCACTCCTCTTTGGTTTCTGTTCCAGTGACACCCGTCCATCATCAGGAAAGGCAGCAAGCTCTCGACACACAGTGGAGACCTTACTGAACCTCAGCAGGGCAGGAACACTTCGTATCTCCTGAAGAATGGGTTCCTGTTCATACCTTTGAGCAAGAGTTGAGTCCTCCCCCCACCCAGCCCAGAGCCACAACGCTGCCTCCACATTCGCTTCGTGACCCGGCATCTGCACCAACCCTGAGCCATACACAAAAGTGAAGGCTACAGTGAAGTATCTGCCACGCACCACAGGCAGTTACCCTGTGCATTGTGCATTTTACACTGAGTAGTCTCATCTGGGCTGTTACATTTCCCAGTTTGCTTTAGAGAAGACCATGATAAGAGTGGCATGAAAAACCTCACTGAGATCAAGATAGAGAGCATAGACTACTGTTTCAAATAAAATAATAGGTCTGTTCAGAGTTGGCTGCCACTCATACCCTGTCTTCCAAACTGATTCTCCACAAACCAGCAGCTAAGTATCATGGTCCATAATTCCCCTCATTATTGTTTTCCCCGCCTTTATAACACACCTGGGGGAATGATTGATTGCTAAAGCAAGAAGAGAAGCCCTGCCTGAGGCAGACTTCTGCGGGTGAGCGCAATTCAGGAAGAGATGTGCAACTATTCCCAGCTCCAGAGGAAGGGGCTGGCAGCCCAAAGGATGCTAGCACTGCCACATCTGGCAAAGAACTGTTGTCCTGCTCTGAAATGGGTCCAGACAGCCTCCCAGGAAGGCTCAACAGGCACTTACCTGCTCCCACAGAAGCCTGCGTAACAACCACTAAAGGGTGAAACGGCCTTGTCACTGGCTTCAGCTCATAAGCAAACAGCCCCAGACTCAGAAACAAGAAAATCAGGAAGTGGGAGTCCTCTGGAGCACAGGCAACGCTTGGGATGGGACAGGAGGAAATCCCCAGGAGCAGCCTCATGCCCAGCACACAAATAAAACTAGAGTTCTGCCCTAAGGCCGATGCAGCTGTGCAGCACAAGTGCCTCTTCGTCTGTCCCTCTGTACTGGGTCAGCTGTGAAAAGCTGACAGTTTTAATGGAAGCATTACTTCTGTCCATACAAGGATCTTGCTGCCATCTTTAAAAAAGTACAATACGAATGCACTGGGAAGAGGAACACGTTACAAATCATGATAAAAAGCCACCAGAGCTTGCACCTTGCTAGATAACAGCCAGACAAGACCCAGATCCATAAAAAATCAGCCTCATTAATTCCACTGTGCACAGAACTACTCCTCGACTGAGAAATCACTGAGCTGCGTGTTAAACCACCAGTGTCCCTACTACAGCAACATCCCATCGTTCTTCAGCCCTTTCAGCAGAAAAAGCTTTGAGCATTTCACAGTCCCCACGATCAATTTGTTTTTCAGAACTGCAAAGATTTCGGATTGAGAGGGGAAAATAATCAAAACGTCCTGACCCACAGCACGTCAGACTCACCCTACCCTGCAACCACATCCTCAGATCCTCAAGACCTACTGATACAAGCTTCTCTTCTCTCACTGGCCGTACAAACGTCTCCACACAGCGCTGGACTTTCTCCACCTAGGATGACATCCCGGACGCACAGCTCTGCCAGGGTACCAACGTGCTTCCAGTGTTCCAGCGTGGACAGGGGATTATCCAGGCTGGACACAGGGTACAAAACCTGAAAACAGCGCACGGGCTGTTCACACTTCCAAGTACCAAGAAGAAAACAAAAAGAAGACTGCAGAGAAGTCGCTTAAATGCTGCTACCTCTCGCACAGCAAAGAAAACCAACAAACACTGGTGTGAGCTGACTTCTTATCCTGCCAAAGCGGCGATTATTCCCTACAGAACCTTATTTCTAGCTCTCCCCAATGCTGGTGGGTCTACACTCGGTGCCCAGCCCTCTAGAGAGGAAACATGCTCTATGACAACCAATGCCAAGGTCAGGCAGGCCGAGGCTGCTGTATAAGCACTCTTCCTACGCCCACACATTCAGCAAAGGGCACCAAGTGGCCTTTATCCAGGCAGAAAACGCACTCGGAGGTTTCTGCAGAGAGAAGGGGAGACACTGTCGTTTGCTTTTGACAGGGGGAGGGTTCAGAATGGAATAGGAAGAACGAATGCTTTTTCCAACGAGTTCCTCAGGAGCCAGAATGCCCAGCTCCTGGTTTATCCCACTGCATCCTCACAGCTCCGCAGGTGTCAGGGCCTAGGTCTCCACCAGCGTGTTTCTGCTCTAGTTGGCATGTCTCCCCTATTTAGAGTGAGCTGCTAGAATAGCCCGGCTTTCTGGCAACACCCATCTCTTCTCCCCTCCCCTGCTCCCATTTGGAAGAGTGCTGCAGGAAGACAGGGAAGGAACATGCGTGCACTGAGCTTTGTGGCAGTTGCAGCAATCAGCTGGGAATCCATCAGCCAGCACATCCTGGCAGGCAGAATCCTTCCTCCTCTCATCGAGCGCATAACCAGGAAATCACTGAGCATCAGCAATTTTAGCATCCCAGTTTTCTGCCTCTGAAAACGGCTCCCACATGCAAGAGCTTTAATAGGAAAGAGCTGGAAGCTTCACTGCTTCTATCTTAAACCCACAACAACTGCCACAACAGAAACAAGGATGCCAGACTAAATGGGTCCAAGTGAATCTTAAAGCTTAGCTTGTGATGCCTCGTGCTAGAAGACTACACAGAGGAGGGGAAAAAAAAAAAAAAAAAAAAAAAAAAGCACCTGGGAAATCAGGAGTCATCTACAATAGGACAAAGACTTCAGGTCAACATATGCCACAATAAATTCAGTTCACTCCACTGTTTCCCTGCCTGTCCCTGAACCAAGTATGAGAGACACAGGGTACCGTCCCAACTTGCACAAATGACACTGTCAAGACAATAATTGCCTCTTCCTTCAAACTGCAGATGGTCTGACAGCACTTTCTGCAGAGAAGTGGGCATAGATTTTTAGCAGCAAACTCTTCTGTAGGCAAAGGTGATCTAAGGATATGGTAGCTGCAGAAAAACAGCTGGGTTCTGGAAAAAAAGGCTTCCTGTGGAAAAGAGTAAGCCTGACCCATAGCAAGAATGAGTGACCACATTTGGGAGACATATAGCACTAGTAGCATTTAGAAACGGAGACACAGGGCTTAAAGTCTTATTTTCACAATAATTATCCCAGTCTCATACTGGGACATGCTTTTGCCACCTGCAAAGTTACGCATTTGGGAAGCCAACCAACTTGATAAAAGTAGGGTTTTTCTTCCTTTGGACCTCTGCCAGCTCATTACTGTTAAATGACAGAATAAAGGGTCTCTGGAAAGACTGGTTGACCTCCAATGAAGCTAGACGTGAGATCGCCAATATACAGCTGAGTACTCCTAAGGGCTACTGCAACAAAACCTAGACCTAATACCTTGGACACTGAAAAAAAAAATCAAATAAAAGCACTAAAAAGCGGAGTGCCAAGGTCACAACCATTGCAGAGGCTGTGTCATGAGCACGGGTTTTCCCCTGACTTTGATAACGCAGTGTCAGAAAGCAAACAGAGGCTGTAGAAGACTACAGCAGCTGTGCAGGGGCTCTGCAGCTTCCACTGCACAGCCAGGACATACGGACCCTGCCAGGAAACTTGCACACTGACACACCGCTGCCACAGGAGCCACTGTGCTCAGGGTCACCACCCCAGGCCACGGAAAAGGGACAAGCTGGTGCTGCCGAGCTGCACGTCCGACAGCTGCTCATCTGACAGACGGCATTTTCAGAGCCACTCCAATATGGGTGAAACAAGAAATATAATCAGCTCTGTAGGGTGTCCAAGAACTTCACAGCTAAGAGCAGCTGCACACGCACGTTAAGGCTTTAGAAAGAAAGGCAAGAGAAGGATGTTTTGCAAAGGACGGGACAGATGGATGTGCAGTCAGCTTCAGGGTAATGTCAAATGCTGGTCTCAAAGGTAAGAACTGGTGGAATAATTGCAGTGTATGGCTCCATCCCGGGATACGTGCCTGCTGATACTCACGCAATGCACAGAGCAAGAATGGTGCTCTGTGATGCTTGTCACCACTGCCAGAAATACCTGGTACTCATGCTCTCTTAGAGCCACTAAGAGCACACAAAGAGGAGATTGGTCAGGGGTCAGCACCCTGGGAGTTCACGTCTCCAAGCTGCAACCCCAAAGGCAAAAGACGTCACTCCAACTCTGATGTGCATGAGGTCCTCTGCCATCATTTGTCTCTGGCTTAGGAGTTTCTCCACCCTACTGCCAAAAAAGGGGGCACCTAGAGCCCCATCTTCTGCCCGAAGTTCTTTCCTAACCCCAGCCTGGACCTTTCTTGCACTGCAGACAGTCTAAAGGGTCAAATCAACACAGAGATGACTTCAAGTACCATAGAGAGGCCACTGTGTTGCAACTTCTTCCCTAATAAAGAGTCTGGCTGTAGTACTACTTGGAAGGAATGCCAAGAGGTCTCTGGTACATCCCCTCTCTCCAGGCAGGTACCTGATCAGGTATCTGTGTCTAGTCAAGGGTTGAGTATCTCCCCAAATGGAGATCCCACAAGCTCTTCACACCCCTGTCCCATGGCTTAACCATCTTCATGTAGGGGGGGAGGGGGGAAATCAATCCTCATCTGAATTCCTTAGATAAACTCTTTATTACATTTGCCTTTGCTGATCACCACTTCAGGACAAAGGGGTCAGGCACCACAGCACTAGAAACTGCCCAGAGGAAGGGAATGCAGCACACGCCTCCTTTCATCCCAGGGGGTCCAGCGTCCCCCTGTCCCGCAGCAAGAGGGGCAGTGCGATCCACCTCCAGCAGAACAGGGAGTAGAGCCAAGGAGCTGTCCCAGCCCCATTCTCCCATGCCCAGAAAACAGGACTCACCTTAGCACCCAGGCACCCCCTCTCATCGTTTTCAAGTCAATCTCCAAGCCCAAAAAGGGTTCACCCAACCAGCTTCCCCAAGCTTTAGCGTCATGTGTAACTCAGTACAAGTTGACTACACTGTTGGAAACTGCCCGGCCGTCCCCAGCCCCTGGACAGGGATCAAGGCCAGGATTGCTTCTTTCAGCAGCAGCTGAGACATACCAGCTCTAGCTGAGTGTGAAGCTCCAGAGGTTTTTCTAGATACTGGAAGGCCTATGATGGGAAAGTCTGTGCTAACCAGCAGGCTGCAAAAGCCCCAGGGGCTTTTAACTGGGACTAGGGAACTAGGTTTGCAGCTCAAGTGGAAGGGCTCTCCTGCAAGGAGATAGGAGGCTCCCTCCATGCTCTTTTCCATCAGCACTAAACACTCCTCTCTGTCCCAGCTTCATCTCCCCACCACCTACAATCTCTAACAGAAAACACACCATAGCATAACCTTCCCGAAACCTAGGGCAAGGCAGTGGCAAGCTGGCTTTACAGGGACTTGGCCACAGTGACTCAGGGTCACATCACTACAGAAAGCATGTGGGGGCTTCCCATCCCTCTCTTGCTTTCTAGCCCACAGCTGGAAATGGCAAGTCAAAAGCTACTAGGGTTTGCTGTGATTGACCAGAGCAAGCAATTCCTGTGTTACCGGGATCCAATTCCAATAAACATTCCAATAAACATATATGGTCTGAGGAAGACAGAGGAAGTGGTCTGGTTGGCTTTGTATCAGATCACTCCTTCCTTTCAAGACCAGAAAGGTCTTACTCCTTTCATTCGTTAGCAATTGAAGAGGACAGATGTTGGAGGCAACAAGAGTTAAAAAAACAACCAAACAAACAACAAAGCAATCTATGAAGCAAACAAACAAAACAAAACAGCACCAATATGTGCCATTAGCAGAAAGGCATTTTGCTCCTTAGTGCAGCCCATGCTGTTTACAACCCCAGCTGGTCAGGGAAATATGAACCTTTCAGCAAGCCTCTGGAACCAGAACAACAGTCTTTACCACCCTCACCAGCAAGCTTGTGCTGGCACCTCCAGATCAGCTGATAAGACACTGTTTTTAAACTCTGGCTCACATGTGCAGCAGCTCACCAAATCCATTCTGCATCTGTTGTGCCTGGGACTACAGTGGAACACCATTAAAATCTGTTTCCAGGCTAGGGAGACAAGAGCTAAGCAGCTGGAATGAAGCCAGGACAAGCATCTCTTCCTAGCTTCAGAATCTGATTGGGAGTCTCGCTCTATAAAAGACAGAGTGAGAGCCATTACCCTGCCCTGCCAGCACAAAGTAGTATTAAAACAGGCAGAATAATCCCCAGGACCCAGCATCTCTGCAGGCATCTGTCTAATGTGAGAGCTACACACTGGATGTTCCGCAGGAGTACAGGAGATGGACAGAACACAGCTGAGACCAGGGAGTGCCCTGGGGCCACTCGTGTGTACCCTGAAGGGCTCTGGAGTGCTCACACTCACCCCACCGTGTACCTGGTGCAGCTGCAAAGACCAGCTGACTTCAGGCTGCAAGACTGAGCTATTATTTCCAGAAGCAAATGTGCCTCATAAACCGTAACAAGGCAGCCAAACTGACAGAGGCAAAGCTCTACCTGCATAATAAGCAAAGGATCCGTTTTACCTCCGGGTCCCTCGACCAGGTGGAGTTTTTTGAGGAGCTACATGGCTCTTTCCTCGCAAATCAAGCCTCTCTCCAGCAGCTCTGCCCAGGTCAAAATCTTGCCACATGCCCTTTGTGCCCCAAGAGCCATTTTGGTATTTGGGGTTAATTCTCTTGTGCCTACCTGGACGTTCCTCCAAAACAGCAGACGAGAGAACGCAAGCTTCCTGCTTCTTCTGCCAATTACAGCAAAGCTCAGCCATGTTTATTTACCCTACATCTGAGCTGGCCAGATCTTTGACCCGACGTGAGCGAACACCACCCTCCTTCCCCTCACACAGAGGCAGGGGTGGGTGCTTTCCATGTCTCCAAGGTGGCAAGGGAGACAGAAGGAAGACCAAGGGCACCAGAGGACACCCTAGCATGGAGCCACAAGGGAGTGCCGGATGCCAGCTATGCAAGACACAGGGAAGCCTGCAGTTGCTGGTAATGCGCTGCTGCCTCCCACCATTGTGCAAATTTCTCCCGGCGGCTGCCGGGCCAGCGCACTCTGCGGCAACGCCATCCCCCAGCTCTTCTTCAGACACCTCCACATGCACTCCCTTCCAGAAGCTCACCAGCAATTGCCCCCTCCGCCCCCAGCCTTTGGTAGGTTACACCTCCACTTCGGAACAGTTTAGTAAGCGGCTTATTAATGGGAGGAAGGTTTGAAGAGGAAAGAAGGCTCTAAAAGTTTGAGAGCCATTGCTGTATGCTAAGAGCTGCCTCCGTCATCACTGCTCCGGCTTTGTCTGGCAGCAGGAGGCACACCCGCTGCGTATCCTTGGGACGAGCAGGCCAGAGAAACCCCCCTTTGTCCCTCCCCACTATCACCACGGAGAAACACTGCGCCTACCTTGCGAATGGCAAGCTTCCCAAGGAGAAAAGTTCAAGTCAGCTCCGCCTGAAATCGCACTTCGGAGCGGTCCTTTGTTACAGGGTGGCTGGGCACCCTGCCCGCCCCACTCACCGCACGGGAATCTTCCCCCACCCCGCACCGCAGAGGAGCGGTACCCGGTTGCCTGCAGCGGCTTGTCCAGCGTCGGCAACTCCCAGAGGCTCCCGGGCACCGCGGCGAAGCAGGGTAGGGAGGGAGGGAGGGGGGCTGCGGCGATGCGCAGCTCCCACAGCGCCTGCCGCCGCTGCCCTCCGGTTCCAGCAGAAGCGCAGGGCACCAGGAGCTCGGCAGCCAACCACACTGCAGCAGGGGGAGGGGAGGAGATGCAGCCGGGCTCCAGAAACAGGAGGGTCGGATGCTTTCCTTGCCAGAGCAGAAAGCACCACGCGCCCCCCAGCCCAGGGCTGCCCCTCCTCGGGGAACAACGCGAGGGCCAAGGTGCGGCGCGGGAGCTGCCCAAGGGGCTCTACCCTCACCATCAGGCTCGATCTGCTCCATCTTTCTGGCAAAAGGTTCCGCACCCGACCTGCTCCGTCCTACGCTCCCCGGCAAAAGGTTTTACGCCCCGTTTGGGGCCACCCTTACCTCCGTTCCCACCGCCTGACCCCCGAAAGCCAAGCAGGGAGAGCTGCAGGGGACCCTCCGAGCTGTGCGATCGCTATCCCCGCGCCCGCAGAAACAGCCGGGTCGGGGAGAAGGTGGCTGGGAGTCCAGCTGTGTCAGCCCTGCGCGGCGCGGAGCTGGGCCAGGAGGGCTTCTTTTGCTCCCCGGGTGCCTTCCGCAGAGCGGGGGACAAACGCCGCAGCGCCTGCCGTAGCTAGCTGGATGGTCGCGACATAGCTGGAGGGTCACGACAGCCGTCAAACCTTGCCAGCGCTCGCCGCGGTGTTTCGCGAGCCTCTGGAGGAATGCTGTCATAACTACCCACCTCTGGCTGATCCACTGTTTCATCAGTATCCCTGTCCCTGCCCACCGGTTCCCTCGGAGGCAGACGGGTGTCCCAGCCATGTTGACACACAGATTCCCTCTTGCCTCATCCTTTCCCAACAAATATTTCTTCACTAAAGCGTCGCTCTCCCTTCCACCCCCTAGTTCAGGGGGCGGGGGGGAAATCTGGCTAGCTACAGGGTTACGTGTGGCAGCAGCTCGGTTAAAAAAAAAAATATATATATATTTAAAAATCCACAGAAGCTATGTAGCGGGAGCGCCAGCATATTTTTTACCTCACGCTGAAAGCCGTTCCTGACGGTGAGGGTACAGCCTAATTATAGCGCAGTGAATCCCACAGCCTGTAGCACCGCAGCCTGGGAACAGCCGCGGGTGGCACTTCAGGCCGCGTCCCACCATTGTCATAAACAATTGTCTCCCTCAACAATTGTAGCCGGCAAAGGAACGGGGAGTCGAGTCGTGTCCCGTCCCCCCCCCCCCCACACCGACCGACCCCAAACGCAGCCGCAGGGCCCTGAGGCGGGGAGAGCGGCCCGCGGAACGCCGGAGCGCCACCCCACCTGCTCCACGCGTGGTCTGCGATCGGCGCGGTCGCTGTCGCGGCGTCGGCGATAAAGGGGAAGGGGGGGGGGGTGAAGGAGGGACAAGCGCCAAGCGCGACACCGCCCACCGCCTTCAGCGGCGCAGCCCCTTTAAATACAACATGGCCGCCGCCACCTCCCTCCTCCAGCGGGGCGGGCCCGCCCGGCGCGCCGCTTCCGGTGGAGGCCACGCCCCCCACCGCGACTGACACCCGCCTCGCTCCCTGTGCGGCGGAGGCCACGCCTCCATGACAGCGAGGCCACGCCCCCACCGCGGCAGAGACCCCCTCTCCCACAGCAGCGGAGGCCCCGCCCCACCGCGGCGAGGCCACGCCCCCCCCCCGCCGCCGGCGGAGAGGAGGGCCGTGATGGCGGCCGGGCTGTGCCGCGCTTTCGGGGCTCTCCTGCTTTCGGCCGCGCCGCGCCCCGCCCGGTTCCGCGCCCCGCCTCCCGTCCCCCCGCTTTGCTTACCGGGGGCAGCGCTGGCGGCCGCCCGCCGCGGGCTGGGCGGCTCGGCGCCTCGCTGCACCACCGACCCGCTGTGGAAGTGCCGGGTCAAGTACACGGTGCGGCCGGTGGGCATGAAGAAAACGGGTGGCCGCGACCACACAGGTGGGCGAGCGGGTGGGAGCGGGCCGGGGCAGAGCCAGCAACCCCCCCCCCCCCCCCCCCCGGCCTCACCACCCCGCGCCGCGCAGGTCGCATCCGTGTCCGTGGGATCGGCGGCGGGCACAAGCGGCGGTACCGCATGATCGACTTCCAGCGGCTGCGCTACGAGGAGGGGGCCCCGCCGCAGCCCTTCACCGAAAAAGTCATCAACGTCCGATACGACCCTTGCAGGCAAGCGCGGGGGGCTCGGCCCCGGGTGGTTGTGCCCGCGCCGTGCCCGCCCGCCCACCCACCGCGGGTTGCCCACGCAGGTCGGCTGACATCGCTCTGGTGGCCGGTGGCAACCGCAAGCGCTGGATCCTCGCCACGGAGAACATGCAGCCCGGGGACATCATCAAAAACTCCTCGCACATCGGCAGGATAGCGGGTACGCCGGCGGGGCTGGGGGGGGGTGCTCCTCCACCGGCTGCTCCTGGCCCAGTTCATCGGTTATTTTTGTCTTCCCAGTATCGGCCAACGAAGGGGACGCCTACCCGCTGGGAGCTCTGCCTGTCGGCACGCTGATCTGCAACCTGGAGAGCCACCCCGGGAAAGGAGCGCAGTACATCCGAGCAGCCGGTGCGTCGCCGCGCAGGGGACCCCGCCGTTTGTTACCCGGTTTGGCTGAAAGAAGAGGGCAAGGCGGGGCGGTGGGGGGCACTACTCTGTGTGGGTGGCGACGGGGAGTTGCTCTCCTCTCTTCTCCCCGCGTTAGAGTACAAAAATTCTGGAGAGGGCTCTGCCACGCCACTTTTCCAGCGACAGCTTGAGCTTGAGGAAGAAGCTCGGCATGGAGGGCGGCATCAGCGGGTTTTGGGGAGCTCCCGCTGTGCCGGCTGTGAGGGTGGGATGCTTTGTCCCCGCTGCTCGGGGCAGCTGCCCCTTCTTCTCTCTCCCTGCTGCAGGGACGTGCGGGGTGCTGCTGAGGAAAGTAAACGGGACAGCCATCGTGCAGCTCCCCTCCAAGAGGCATATGCAGGTAGAGGAGCCGTGCCATCCCCGAGCTGGCCGCCCGGCCACGCAGCCGTGCGTCTCCAGGGAGGCCTGCGGCTCTTTTCTGTCCCCTTAGGTGCTGGAGACCTGCGTGGCCACAGTGGGCCGGGTGTCTAACGTGGACCACAACAAGCGGGTGATTGGGAAGGCGGGTCGGAACCGCTGGCTGGGCAAACGCCCGCACACCGGCTTGTGGCATCGCAAGGGCGGCTGGGCTGGGCGCAAGATCAAACCTCTCCCGCCCATGAAGAGCTACGTCAACCTGCCACGGGTCACAGCGCAGGAGTGATGCTGGGGGGCGGGAGGGGGGGGGGTTATTACCTCCTAATAAAACATCCTCCGCGCCATCGCTGTCGTCTCGCTGCTGCCTTTTCCGCGTGAGATCTTGGGGGGTTGCTTTCCCCACAGGACACGTTTGGCCAGGCTGCCCCGGGAGGAGAGACGAGTGTGGGGCTGCCTGGGCTTGTGTTTAGGTGGCGGGGGGCTCGGTGGGGATCAAGCAGAACTCTGCACCATCACACCAATCCTGCCGGTGGAACCGTCGGGCTCTTTCCGCGCCCCCCCCCCCCTCAGGTTGTGAGGCGAGCAGGAAGCCGTGGGGTAAAGCAGGAAGGGGGGGCTGCCAGCCTGCGTGGCCTGGGGAGGACGTACCTCAGTATTAGCCCTGCTAATACCCCCCTCGGCTTCTGCTGCTGGCCCCTGTTACCCCCTTTTCTCCCTGCGCCCCACAGACCCGCCAGCTTGCCCCCTTTTCTCCCTGATACCCCTCTGCCACACAGCTCTCCCCGTTTTCTCCCTGATACCCCCATGCCTCACAGACCCTCCAGCTCACCCCCTTTTCTCCCTGTGTCCCACAGACCCCCAGCTCGCCCCTTTTTCTCCCTGTCCCACAGACCCCCCCCCCACACTCCCTTTTCTTCCTGATACCCCCATGCCCAACAGACCCCCCCAGCTCACCCCCTTTTCTCCCTGTGTCCCACAGACCCCCAGCTCGCCCCTTTTTCTCCCTGTGTCCCACAGACCCCCCCCACTCCCTTTTCTTCCTGATACCCCCATGCCCAACAGACCCCCCCAGCTCACCCACTTTTCTCCCTGTGCCCTACACACCCCTCCCAGCTCGCCCTCTTTTCTCCCTGATACGCCCATGCCCCGTAGACACCCCAGCTCTTCCCCCTTTTCTCCTCGACGCCCCCGCGCCTCGCAGACCCCCCAGATCTCACCCCTTTCCCCCCCCCCCCCACCGCCCCGAGCCCGCGGGCGGAGGAAGCTTGGCCCCGCGCGGCTTCCGTCCCGCGGGAGGGCGGGGGAAGAGCCACCGCGCATGCGCGCCCGGCCGCCGGGGTTGGGGACCGGCCGGAGCTCTCCGGTCCCGGTCCCGCTCTTTCCTCTTCGGGAAGCGCTTGGCGGGAGGCCGCGATGGCGGAGCCGCGGCGGGGAGGCAGCCCGGCCCCGCCGGCGAAGTCCCCGGGGCCGGCTGCCCCTCCCTGCGCCGCCACGGTGAACGGGAGGCGGGATGGCAACCGGGTGGTGCACCTGGGAGCCCAACTGCAGGCCTGGCCGGAGGAGCTGCTGCGGCAGCGGCGAGGCCGCGACGGCCAGCCTGAGTACCTGGTCCGGTGGAGCATTGCCAGCTTGGAAGGGAGAGCGGCGGGAGGCAGCGGTGCCTCCGGTGCGGAGACCAAGCCGGAGAGCATCTCCGTGTGGATGTCTGCAGAAGAGGTCTGCGCCAGCTGCCCGGCGCTGCTGGGCGAGAGGGGGCTGGAAGGGCAGGGGGGGAAAGGGGAGAAGGCAGCCAGCCCGCTGGCCGCGGACGCCCCGCCGGAGGACGCCTCGCTGCTGGAGATGAAGGCTGACGTCAGGAGCCTGGTGCAGCGAGCCGGGCGGCAGCTGGCCGAGAGCGGGGCCCCCGAATCCTCCGTCCTCAACACCATCCACGTGCTGAGCGCGTACGCCGGCATCGGCTCGCTGGCGGGCGCCTTCAAGGAGGCGGGGGCCCTCGACCTGCTGATGAGGATGCTGTGCCACAAGGAGAAGCGAATCCGCCGCGGCGCCGGCGAGATGCTGAGGGCCCTGGCTGCGCACGATGCAGGTGGGGGCTGCGGCTGCTCGGAGCCACCGAGGAGGTGCTGCTGGGCAGCGGAGGGGTGCCAGTCCCTTTGGAGGCGTCGGAGGCGGCGTGTCTCGGGGCTTGTTGGCAAAAGGAGAAGAATCAGACTGGCTCTTGCAAGCGTCTCCTTGCTTGTAGTTGCCTGGGGTGCTCCAAGACTCGGGAGCTCTTTCCCCTGATGGGTTCCTGAGCTGGGACCCTGTTAACTGTCAGGAGTGTCAGGGGACGTTCGGGGTGGTTGTTAGGGGTGTCAGGGGATGTTCGGGGTGGTTGTTAGGGGTGTCAGGGGATGTTAGTAGTGTTAGGGGGTATGAGGGGTGGTTGTCTCCTCCAGCAGGCCCAGCACTTCTCCTGCCCCACCACTGGAGCCCAGCCTGGGGATCCAGAGTCCCTCAGGCTGAGGGATGCAGCTGCCACCTTCTTGTTTGCATGTTCAACCGCCAGCAAAACTGAGCGTCCGTCCCAGAGGCGCACTGATGACCAGGCACGGCGTTCAACAGCGCGTACGTGCGGCCCTGCCATGACCACGAGCACAGAGAGCCATGTCACCTCCTTCTCGTCAGCTGGCAGGGGCAGAAGGTCACTCCTGCCAGCACGTGGCACTCCCCAGGTTCACAAGCACACGCACACACCTTCACGGATCCCTCGAGTAGCAGCGCGGCCCCTCTGCCTGGATCCAAACCCCCCCCGTTTCCCCGCTTCAGGGCTCCCCCTGCTCCCCAGCTGGTCGGGCTCGATCCACGCCAGCAAACACGGGGCGGTCAGACACTACCCCAGCGTGAAGTTTTGCTCACGAATTCCGTGCACGCCACACGCCCGGCAGGATTGGGGAAGATACAGGTGCTTGCCCTCACCCTCCCCACACGCACCCACCCCCCCAGCACCAGGCGCTGCCGTTCTGCTTGAGCTGCTGTTGCTGAACTCCTCGCTCGCCTCCCTCCCAGGGGGTTTTTTGGGACACACACCGCTCCCTCCCCAGTGGCTAAATGGCTGAGGACCCCACCCACTCCAGTCACTAGCCCTGCTGCCCTCGCACTCACTCCAGTAGCTGGCACCCAGTCCGCTCTACACCAGTCTCCCCAGTAGCTGGCACTGGGGGCTCAGACTCTGGAACGTTCCCCAGCTCCTGAAAGCAGCGACCCCTCCGGGTGCCAACGCCAGGACGCTCCCTCGCTCCAGCTGCTGACACCCCCCCAGCCACGCTCCAGTTGCTGCCCCCCAAGTCCGCTCATGCCCACGCGGGTCTCGCCAGCAGCTGGCACTCAGTCCTTGCAGCACTTGCACGCGCGCGGGGTGTTGAGATAGTTAGGCAAGATTTAATAAGGAGACGTGAAAGAAGTGGAGACAAACTCCCATGATAAAGGCGCGGGACTCGGTGAGACACTGACCAGCCACGGTTTACACGCGACCGGCCCCTTTTCTACCCCTTTCTGTGCACCCCTCCTCTGTGTTCCATGCCGATTCCCTTCCCGGGCACATCGCCCCATCCGTTGGCATAATTCCATCAAGCCTGTTGCAACGTCCCAGACCCGCAGGGGCCTTCTCAGTTGCAAAGTCCCAGTTTGCCTGCAGAGTCTTCAGAGCCTCTCGATTAGGGCAGCTGGCTGGGTCTGTGGCTGGTTATTGTCTTTGTGAACAGTACGTGGTCGGGTGTCGTGTCTCTGTGTTTGTCTTCCCTGATCATCCCAGTTCAGCCAGGTCCTTGGTCAGCTAATCTTACCGAAAAATAGTCATTCTCACATTGGAGCTGTCCTTGCTAATTGGAAGTGGCCAGATTTGTTTCTCCTCACTTAGCATTGGTCTTTGGCTTCCTTACTATCTCTTTTTGCAGCGGAAAGCTCCTTGACTAGATACGCATGAAGGAGCCGACGGTCTCCTCCTACATACCCTTACAAGGCAGATCTGTGCCAAGGGGCTTGGCAGAGCCCTGGTGAGCAGAGCCTGCTCCTCACCCCGTCCTCTCATTTGGGAGGAGCTGCCGTGGCTCAGGAGTGCCCGAGGAGGCGGGGGTGCTCCTGGGCGCTTGCTGGTGCCGGTGCATCCCACAAGAGATCCGCCTTCCCCTGGCCTAGTGCCGGAGCCCATCTGGCTCTCCGGTGGGGCAGGTGGGGGGATGATTCAGGTTACAACTCAACTCTTGTTCCCTGGAGCCCTGTTCCGGGGTCGGTTGGTTGGGGCTGCTGCTTTGGGGGAGTCTCGCAGCTTTACGAGTGGAACAAACGCGATGTTATTCGGTCGGTGGAGCAAAATGCTGCCAATCCAGATGAAAGGACAGAGCACGGTTCTAGGTCGCAGCTCCCCGCCTGCGAGTGTGTCCTGCCCAGGCAGGGTGGGGTGAGGGTTGTTCTCGTGGAGCCTGAAGAGTTTTTGGTGTTGCTGCAGGGAGCCGGGCCTACGTCCTGCTGTCCCTGAGCCGGCAGGATGGCATTGAGCAGCACATGGACTTTGACAGCCGCTACACCTTGCTGGAGCTGTTTGCTGAGACAACATCCTCTGAAGAGCACTGCATGTCCTTTGAGGGGATTCACCTGCCCCAGGTAGCGGCCCAGCCCTGGGCCTGTGGGCTTTGGGGGTCAGGGAGGGGCGAGAGCGGGGGGCTAGAACTGGGGTCCTCGTTTGGAACAGGAGGGTGGTCGGCCGTGGGCAGCTGAGCAGGGTACCGGGGGAGCTGGCACAGGATCTGGGCCTGGTTTGGGGCTGGGGGGTGGTGGAGAGGCACGTGGGGAGCCTTGCCTGCGATCGGGGAGGTGGAGGCGGGCTGAGAGGTCTCTGCTGCTTCGTGCTGGTGCGGAGCTGCCACGGGAGCCCGCCTGGAGGGGCCGGCGGCTTGGAGGGGGCTGGGGCTGGAGGCGGCACGCTGCAGGCTGGGGTGTGAGAGCCGTGCTTGTCGCAGATCCCCGGGAAGCTGCTCTTCGTCCTGGTGAAGCGCTACCTGTGCGTCACTTCTCTCCTGGACAAGCTCAGCGGCGGCGTGGAGCGGGAGGACTGCGCCGAGCCCGGCCTGCTGACGGAGGAGAGGAGCCACGTGAAGCAGGAGTTCGAGTTCAGCATGGCCGTGGCAAACCTCATCCTGGAGCTGGTGCACGTGATGGGCTGGGACCGCAGCCCCAAGCCAGAGCTGCAGCCGCACCACGACCGGCGGCCTCGTGCCACCCACTCCATCTTCCAGCACAGGGCCGCTCCCTGCACCGCTGCTCAGGCAGCCCTCGCCCCTCCACCGAAAGAGCCCAGCACCTTCAAGACGCGCTCAGCCTTCCCAAGCCGCAGCAGCTACGTGGAGTACGTGCAGGCAAAGCTGGTGCGCGGCATGCGGGTGCGCATGCTGGAGGACTACGAGCAGGTCAGCGCAGGCGACGAGGGTGACTTTTGCCAGAGCAACGACGGCACACCGCCTGTGCAGGTATCCTTTGCCGGGAGCGAAGGATCTTCTCCAAGGGCCTGGCCGCTCCGTTGTGCTGTGGGAAGGGTGCAGCCTTGCGTGGGAGCAGTGGGGTTGGGCTTGCCTTCCCTCAGCTGCGTTGGGCTCTCCTCCGCAGGTGTACTGGCAAGCCCTGGGCTGTACATACTGGGTTCACTGGCACATGGTGGAGATCATTGGCGCTCCGGGGCAGGAGGAGCACGAGGGCCAGGAGAAGGTGTCCCTCCTGACACGCAACCACAAACTGGCAGCAGGTGAGCGGCCTCCCAGCCGGGCCCGCAGCTCTTCTCCCCAGCCCTGCTGCAGCTACGCGGTGGCACCGTGGGTTCTGCTGGTGCTGGGTGGCCCAGTGCGTTGTTGCCCTGGCTGGTCCAGGCGCCGTGGGGACAGGGCTGGGCAGCGGTTGAGCTCGAGCCGCCCGTTTTGAGCCCGTGCTTTTTCTGTTCTGCGGCCCAGAGAGGTTCAGGCGAAGGCGGTAATCCCCGTCTCGCCAGCTTCTGGGCTCTCCTCCCAGCACGGTCCCCGTCTCTGGCCGCCCTCCCGTCTCCCCCCTTTCCCAGGGCAGGCTGGGGGACGGTGGGGCCCCCCCCCTGCCCAGAGAGTCCCCGCGAGCCCTTTCCTGGGAGCGTGCGGGGTGTGCGGCAGAGGCTGGGGGCGCTGGCAGAGCTGACAGTGCCCCCTCCTCGCTCTGCTCTCCTGCAGTTGCGCAGCCGTTTCTCCGCCAGCCCTTGGGGGGGCTGTACTCTCTGCCTTACCTGGGGGAGCAGCCGCCCGAGGCCGCAGAGGCCCTGAGCCGTGCCGAGTGGTGGGAGCTGCTCTTCTTCGTGAAGAAGCTGGAAGCCCAGGAGCAGAAAGAGCTCTTCTCTCTCATCCAGCAGGCCCGGGGAGAGCAGGTACGGGCCAGAGCCCGCGGGGCGGCAGTGGGAGGGAGGGAGCGAGGGTTGGGAAGGGGCCGGGGCCCGGGGGAGAGGCTGGCAGGCGTGAGCTGTGCGGGGCCAGCCTGAGCGGAGCAGAGAAGGGGCTGGAACGGGAGCGGGAGCGGGAGCGAGGGCTGGCAAAGGCGCGGGGAGCCGGGCGCAGCAAAGGGGTGAGGCGAGGCGGGAGGAGACGGTGTCCCGCGCCCCGGGGAGAGCGGCCGTGCTCGGCGAGGTTCGGGTGGGCGAGGCGAGCCCCGTGGGGCGATGCTGCGGGCGGGGAGGGCGGGTGGGGGGTGTGGGCCGGGGACAGCCAGGGGAGAGCGGCCCCGGGGGCGCAGCCTGCCTGTCCTCCGTGGGGGCACCGGCCGTCCCGGGGGGGTGTGGGGGGGTGCGTGGGCGTCGCGGGGCTTGAGCCGAGCCCGCCCGTGCAGCTGTCGGAGGGAGACGAAGAAGCCCTGATCCGGCTGTCGGTACCCGCGGCGCTGGCCCCGAAGGTGCTGCAGGTCTTGGAGGAGCGGTGCCAGGGCGGCTCTCGGCGCGACCTGCGCGTCTCCCACACCTACACCAAGTACGCCCTCGGTAGGGGGGCCGGGCAGGATGGCGGGGGGAGCACCGCGGCGTCCCCGAAGGGTGCCGGCTGCAGGAGCGCTGGCCCCGGAGCCCGGGCGGCCGAGGCAGCGGAGGAAGCCCCCGCTGCAGCCCCCGCTGCAGCGGCCAAGGCGGACGCGCAGCTGTTCGGCGAGCTCCTGGAGAGGGAAGGGCTGGCCCTCCCCGAGGTGCCCGAGGAGCAGCTCCGAGGTAACGGGGGGGCTGGGGCACGGGCACGGCGCTGGAGGGGGGCTCTGGGCAGGGCGCGGGGCGCCGGGCCCCCGGGGGGCGGCGGGGGGGGCGCCCGGCGGCCCGGGAGCTGCCGGGGGTGCCCCCGCCGCCCCGCTGCCCGTGTCCCTGCTCCCCTCCCTCCCTCCCTCCCCGCCTCCCTCCCTCCCTCCCTCCCTGCCTCCCTGCCTGCCTCCCTCCCTCCCCCCAGCGCTGGGCAGCTCCGAGGGGCTGGGCGAGAGGGGCTCGCCGGCCGAGCTTGCGGCCGCGGTGGCCGCGGGGCAGAGCAGCGGCTCCGCGGTGGGGCTGCGCTCGGCCGGGCTGCGGCACCTGGCGGAGAGCCTGGAGGAGGAGCCCGAGGCGGAGCGGCGAGGCGGCGGAGCCCGGGGCGGGCCGGGCGGCGGGAGCCGCGGGGGAGCCGCGGGGTGCCGCACGGCCCTGCTGCGGGCCGGGGGGGGGCCGGGCTGTCCGGGAGAGGGGCGGGCAGCCCCCCCGGGGCCGAGCCGGCCGCCGGAGAGCCGGGCGGGCGGGGAGGAGGCGGCCGGCAGCGGGGCCGGGAGGCTCCTGCCGAGGCCGTGCCCTGCCCCCCCCGCAGGGAGACGCTGGCGAAGGCGGCGGCGGAGCTGCCGAGCGCCGGGGCGGCGGAGAAGGCGGCGGCGGCGGCGGCGCTGCGGCTGCTGGCCGCGCTCACGGCCAAGCGCGACTGGCGGGCGGCGTGCGGGCCGCGCGGGCCGGCGTGCAGCGGCGCGGCTCCTCCGCCCCGGGGCAGCGGGCCGGGCTGGCGGGGAGGGCGGCGGCCGGGGCGCGGGGCGCGGGCTGGAGCCGCCCGTCGTTGTCGCGGCAGGCGGAGAGGCCCCGCGGGCCCCCGGGGACGTGCGGGCGCTCCTGGGCGGCCCCGGGGACGGCGAGTTGGCCGGGGAGGCGGTGGCGGCGCTGGAGCGGCAGCTCTGCGGCGGAGGCGCCGGCCCCTCGGGCGAGGCGGCCCGGCTGCTGCAGGACCGCGGGTGCTTCGGGCTGGTGCTGCGCAGCTTGGAGCTGCTGGGGGCGGAGAAGCCGGCGAGCCTGAGCGTCCTCCGGTGGGTCGGGGGGCCGCGCTCCTGCCGCGGGGGCCGGGCGGGCGCCGCGGGTCGCAGGCCCCGCGGGGGCCGGGCGTGAGCGGGGCCCCCTCTGCCCCGCAGGATCCTGAGCGGGTTCCTGGCCGCTTCCCGGGGGGACGCGCTGCCCTGGCACGAGTGTGTGGAGCCCTGTTTGGCCTCGCTGAGCGCCCACAGCAGCGACCGGGAGGTGCGGGGGGGCCCCGGGACGCGCGGCGGGCGGGGCCGGGGCGCTGCCGCCCGCGGGCGCCGTGGCGCGGGGGGGGGGTCCGGGGGGGGGGTTTCCCCGCGCCGGCCCGGCCGCTGACGGCTGCCTGCGGGGCAGGTGGTGCGGGAGGTCGTCGGCTTCCTGCACCGCCTGGCCAGCAGCAGCAAGGACTGCGCGGTGGCGATGTGCCGCCTGGGCGCCCGCGAGACGCTGGCCAAGGCCCTGGCCAAGCAGGGCACGGCTCCGCCGCTGGCGCCAGCCCTGCTCGCCCTGGTGACGGACTGCGAGGAGCACGCCGGCCTCTACCAGAAGCTGACGAGCAGCGTCCTGGCTGGCTGCATGCAGGTGGGGGGCCGGGGGGGGGGGCCCCCGAAGGTGCCGGGGCTGGGGGCCGCCGGGCTGTTGGCGCCGGGGGCGGCCCCGCGGTGCGAGCCCGGCCCCGTCCCGTAGCTGGTCCTGGGGCAGATCGAGGAGCACCGCCGGAGCCAGCGGCCCATCAGCATCCCCTTGTTCGACGTCTTTCTGCGCAACCTGTGCCGAGGTGAGCGCGGGGAGCGGGAGCCGGCCCCCCGCGCCGGGCAGGGGCTGGCCCGGCCCGGCGGCCGGAGGCTCCGGGTGCTCTCCCCACAGGCTCCGGCGTGGAGGTGAAGGAGGACAAGTGTTGGGAGAAGGTGCAGGTCTCCTCCAACCCCCACCGGGCCGGCAAGCTGACGGACAGGAACCCCAAGACCTACTGGGAGTCGAACGGCAGCAGCGGCTCCCACTTCATCACCGTCCACATGCAGCGTGGTGTGGTGGTCAGGTGGGGCAGGGCTGGGGGGCCTCGGGGGCCAGCGCCCGCGCGGGGAGGAGGGGGCCGTGGGGCGCTGCGCGCGCCCTGCCCCGGCGGCCCCCGGCCGGGCAGCAGCGCGTGGGGCCGGCGGGGGCCGGGGCGGGGCGGTGGGGACTGCCGGGCAGCGCTGCCTGTGCTGCGCTGCAGGGAGATGAGCATGCTGGTGGCCAGCGAGGACTCCAGCTACATGCCGGCCCGCGTTGTGGTGCTGGGGGGAGACAGCCCGGCCGCCGTCCGAACCGAGCTCAACGCGGTGAGTGCGGTGCGGGGCCCCGGGGGGGGCGGGAGGAGGCAGCCGGGGCGGGGGGGACGTGGGCGCGGGCGGCCCCGCAGCCCGGGCTGCGAGCGGGCCGGAGCGCTGGGGCTGCGGCGGGGCCCTGGCGGGGGGCGCAGGGGAGCCCGGGGGGCGAGGGCTTCGGCGGGGGGCGGCCGGGGGAGCGCGCGGGGCGGCCGGCGCTCGCTGCCTGGCACGCTGAGGGTCCGCTGCCTGCCCGCAGGTGACCGTCCTGCCCTCGGACAGCAGAGTGGTCCTGCTGGAGAACATGACCCGCTTCTGGCCCGTCCTCCAGATCCGGGTGAAGCGGTGCCAGCAGGTCGGGGCGCCGGGGAGCCGGCGGCGTGGGGCGTCGGGGCCGTGGCTGCGGAGCTGAGGGTCCCGCTCTGCCGTAGGGCGGCATCGACACCCGCGTGCGCGGCATCGAGGTGCTGGGCCCCAAGCCCACTCTGTGGCCCGTCTTCAAGGAGCAGCTGTGCCGGCGGACGTTCCTCTCCTGCACCGCCCGGGCTCACGCCTGGTGCCAGGAGATCTGCCGTGACCGGGGGCGACTGCTGCAGCTCTTCGGCAAGTGAGTTGCTTCCCGGCTGGCCCGGGGGCGGCGAGCGGGGGCCCTGGGTGCTGGGGCCGTGGCCGTGCCTGGCGCGCTGCCCCGTCGCCCTTGCAGGCTGAACCGGGCGCTGCGGCACGAGCAGGCCTTCGCCGACCGCTTCCTCCCCGACGACGAGGCGGCCTGGGCCTTGGGCAGGACGTTCTGGGAGGCGCTGGTGACCCCCCTGGTGCAGAGCATCACCAGCCCAGGTACCCTGTGCCCCGCGGGGCCCGTCGGGGCCGTGCCCCGGGCCGAGGCGCCCGGCTCTGAGCGCGCGTGGCCTCGCAGACCCCCAGGGCGTCAGTCCCCTGGCCTGGCTGCTGAGCGAGTACCTGGAGAGCGCGGAGCTGTCCGGTCACGCCGCGAGCCGTGGCGCCGTCTTCGGCTCCCGCGTGCGGCGCCTGACGCAGCTCCTGGTGCACGTGGACCCCCGCGGCGCGGAGCCGGAGGAGGCGCGAGCAGCCGGTGAGCGCGGGGCGGCGCTGCCCTCCCGCCCGGCCGCGGGGGGTGGCCGCGGGGTCCTGCTGGGGACAGCCCTGTGGCACAGGGGGCTCCCGAGCCGGGGAAGGGGCCCGCGGCGGCCGTGCCCCCCTCCCCCGGCACCCCCTCTGCCCTGCGCCCCCCCGGGAGAGCGGGAGGCTGCCGCCGGCCGGAGCGTGGGGCCGCGCTGAGCCCGAGGCTGTCCCGTGGCAGGCGGGAAGGACGGGAGGGACGAGGAGGTGCCGGCCAGGGCTGCGGAGGCGGCGGCGAAGTCGAGCGGCCTGCGGAGCATCTGGCGGTGCTGGCGGGACGTGGTGCAGCGGCAGGTAGAGCGGGGAGGGGGCGTGGGACCCCGCAGCGGGTGGGGGGGGAGCGGGGGGCGAGGGGCTGCGCCCAGCCTCCGAGGGGCCCGGCGGGGTGCGGGGACGGCCCGGCCGGGCTCGGGCGGCAGCTGGGGCTCCGGGCGGGGAGACGGGTCCGGCGCCCGGCACTTGCTGTGCGGGCGGGCGGGCAGCCGCTGCGCTTGGGTCCTGCCTGCGCGGCCCTGCCCGGCCCTCGGGGCTGCGCTCCGGCCTCCGCGGCAGCACTGGGGGGGGGGGGGGGGGCTCCGGTCGGCCCCCGGGCAGGGGGTGGTGGCGGGGGGGCCGCGGCCGTCGCTGCGGGGCTGGTCCCGCTGCGGGGCTCACCCCCCTGGCGCCGCGTCCCGCAGGTGCAGCGGTTCCTGGAGGCGGCAGGGCAGGCGCCGGACCTCGTGGAGCGCTACTGCGGGCTGTACCGGCGGCTGCGCGCCGCCACGGAGGAGCTCTTCGGGCGGCAGGCCGCCTTCGTGCTGGCCCTGGGCCGGGGCTTCGCGGGGGCTCTGCTGCAGCTCCCCTTCCTCACCGCCCTGCACGTGAGTGCCGGGAGCGCGGCGCCGGGGCTTTGGCCGGGGCCCGGCTGCGGGTGCCTCTGGCAGCGCGGCCCCTGCCCGCGAGGAGAGCCCCCGGGCTCCCCCGCTGCTCCCTCCGGGGACGGCGGCGGCGGCGCAGCAGCCCGGCCCCGCGGCCGCCCAGCCAGCCCCGTCCCCTTGCAGGTGAGCGAGCGGTTCGCCCGCTACCTCGACGGGCGGATCCGGGAGCTGCGCGGGGCCGCGGGCAGCGCGGAGCCCCCGCAGCGGCTGCAGCAGCTGCTGGAGCCCTTCGCCGTCCTCGGCGGCCTGGAGCTCGCCCACCCCTTCGAGCACTTCTACCGGTGAGGGCCGGCGCAGCGGGGGCCGGGGCTGAGCCCGGGCTGGGGGCGGCGGGCGGAGGGAAGGGCCGCGAGGGCGCTGCCGGTCGCCGGAGCCGCGTCCCGGGCTGGGGCCGGGGCCGGCGCGGCCTCCGGGCGGGTGGCCGGTGGCCGCTGGGCTGGGGCCGGCCCCGGAGCTGACGCTGGCGGCTGCGACAGGCACTACCTGGGGGACCGGCTGCTGGCGCAAGGCCCGTCTTGGCTGGAAGGAGCCGTCGCGGAGCAGCTCGGGCTGTGCTTCCCCAGCCGCTTCCCCCAGGAGATGCTGAGCGACTTGGCCGAGTCGGAGGAGCTGCGGCAGCAGTTTGGCCTCTTCCAGCTGCAGGAGCGGGACAGGCGGCTGCTGGAGCTGGAGGCGGGCCCGGGCGAGGTGAGCGTTGTGCCGGGATGGGGGGGCAGGCTGGGGGCCGCCCGCCCTCCTCGCGGGGCTGCCGGGGCCTGTGCTGAGCCGCCCTCGCGCCCAGGCGCCGGGGCCGGCCTCGGCGGCGGCTGCGCCGGAGGTTGCGCCGGAGGTGAAGGTGCTGGCCCTGTCCCCGCGCTGCTGGCCCGTCCCCCCGTCCTGCTCCATGGCCGAGCCCGGGAGGTTTTTCTCGGCGGCGCTGAGCTCCCCCCTGGCCGCGTTTGCCGACTTCTGCAGGCGGCGTGAGTGGCCGTGGCGGCGGGCGCGCGGGTCTCGCCGGGGCCCCCGCGGCAGCCGGGCCGTGCCGGGCCGTGCCGGGAGCAGAGCGCCCGGGGGGGGCCCGGCCCCCGGCCCCCGTGCTGACGCCGTCCCTGGCAGGCCAGCTCCGGCCGGGCCGGGCGGGCGCGAAGCCCCGGCGGTTGCAGTGGACGTGGCTGGGCCGTGCCGAGCTGCGCTTCGGGGACTGCGTCCTCCACGTCTCCACGCTGCAGATGTACATCCTGCTGCGCTTCAACGACGCCGAGGTAGGGGCCGGGGCTGCGGCGGGGGGTCCCCGGGGGCGCTGGGGGCTGGGCGCTCCCCTCCCACCCTTCCCGCAGGAGGTGGCTGTGGAGGCCCTGCTGCAGGCGACGGGGCTCCCGGCCGCCCTGGTGCACCAGGCGCTGACGCCGCTGACCCGCAGCGAGGGCGTCCTGGCGCGGAGCCGCACGCCGGGGGGTGAGCGTGGGGCCGGGGCAGCCCTGCTCGGAGCCCCGCGGGGGGGCCGGGGCGGGGGGGGGTGAGCGGGCCGGGGGCGCTGCCCGAGGCCGCGGCGGGGGGCCGGGGCGCAGCGGGGGGCCGGGGGCGCGCACGGGCTTGGGGCTGCTGCTCGGGGCCGGGGAGGGCGGCGGCGGGAGGCCCCGGGCCGGGCCCACGGCCCCGGGGGGCTCCGTCGGGGCTCGGCTGACCCGGGCCTGGGTGCCAGCTCCAGGCGTGCTGCGGCTGAACCGGGCAGCCCTGGCCCAGGCCTCCGGCCGCCCCCTGAGGCTGCTGCCCCAGCAGAGGTACCTCCGGGCGGAGAGGGCCGAGGTCGGCAGCCTCGAGAGGAAGAGGAACGTCCTCTGCTGCCTCATCACCCGCATCCTCAAGGCGGAGAAGCAGCTCCACATCGACAACCTGGTGTTCAAGGTAGGGAGGGCTGGAGGGGCGCCGAGGGGCTGCCTGGGTGCTGTGCTGCACTGCAGCCCCCGCGGGGCTCCCTTGCTGCTGCAGGTGGTTGACGCCTGCCAGAAGGGCGAGCTGGGGCCGAGGCTGCAGTTCCTGAGCTTCTGCTGCCACAGCGTGGACGTGCTGTCCTGCGTCCTGCACCTGCTGAACCAGGGCTACCTCCGGCGCCAGGAGGCGAGGCCTCACGTCTTGGAATACGTTTCGGCCGAACCCGCAACACCCCCTGCCTCCCAGCTCCAGCCCCAAGTTGCCTTCCAGACTGTCGAGATCAAGAGAGCAGCAAGCCCAGCCTCTGCTGAAAGGAGACAGACTTTTTCCACCTTCAGGTAGACAAAGACCTGGCTGGACTGGATGTCTCTGCCTGAATATTCGGTGGGTTTTTATTTTAAATAAATGAGCCGAGCTCACCCACTCACAGTTTATAGTCTATCAGAGAGCTCTGGTTTGCTGTGCCCTGACAGCTCTGCTCGCTGCAGTGGGGGGTAGCAGCTCCACCCCGCCCGCATTTGTTCTCTCCCAGCTGTACTCTGGCCTGGAAGGACACACACGCCTCCCCGCCCTAATGGTACCAGCATTAATTTATTAAAATTAATCCCGAAAGGTAACCGTACAATAAATTTAAAAAAAATAGAATCTTGTAAAAAAAAAACCCAGGTGCCCCCCGTGCCACACCTCCAGCTGGCAGCACCGTGGGGCAGGGCTGGTCAGGAGGGGCCGGGGGAGATGAGGAGGGAGGGGGGAACAGGCTCGGCAGCGCTGTTGCCAGCCTCGGCAGCGAGGCTGCGGCGAGGCTGGAAAAGCTGCGGAGGCTCAGCCCCGCGGGGTCGGGGCAGGCACAGCAGCGCCGGGCTGGCGAGGGGCCGGCACCTTCCCCGCCGCCGCCGGCCCCAGCAATCCTGCTGGCTCCAGCCCAGCTGGCGCCTCGGGGGAGAGCGGGACCCAGAGCCCTTCGGCTGGCGCCAACCCTTGTCCCGGGCTGCTGGGGGTGGCGGGGGGGGGGGAGCAGGGGTTTGGGGAGGGGGGTGTGTGTGTGTGTGGGGGGGGGGGGGGGTGGGTGTCACGGGAGGCGGATGGCGTGGTGCCCTGGCTGGTGTTGGGAGGGTGCACGGACCCGGTTCTCACTGGCCTCACCTTCCCGGGTCTCGGCCCGGCGCGGCTGCGCCATCTCCCTCTGCAGAGCAGGCAGGGGCTGGGCCGCAGAAGAGAGGGGGCAAGGAGCACATGTCCACCCCCCCCCCCCCGTCCCCCCCCCCCCCGTCCCCTACAACCCTCCACAGCTCCATCCCGGGGCTGCCCCCTGCCTCACACGCTCTTCGAGTAGCCAAAGATGCCCACGGGGAGGTACTTGACGTGCGTCGGCCACTGCGCTGCCAGCTGGAAAAACTTCACATCGTTCCATTCCACCCCATCTATGGAGACTGAGGGGAAAGGGGGGCGGGGGGGGGGGGGGGGGTGAGGGGTGGCCCCATTTCGGGCAGCCCGTGCTGCTTGGCCTGCCCTGCCCCTCCCCTCACCTCGCAACATGGTGTTCTGGTGCTTGGCTGTGCAGATGAGGCGCGTGATCCCTTCGATGACTTGGCTTTTGGGCTCCAGGTCTTTCTCTTTTGGTTTCTTGCTCAGGAACATCACTGGGGGGGGGGGGGGGGAAGGACAGACCAGACCGACATCAGGATGTCCCCACCCGGCCCTGGGCTGGGAGCCTTCACCCCAGGGCTGGCTGCGCTGACCAGGTCTCAGCCTTACCCTCCCCCCTCAGCTTTTTGCAATGGAGTGTGACACCCCCCACCCCACCCCCCCCCAGCCAAAAAGCACCCCAGGGTGGGCTTGGTTACCTTTCTTGTTCTTCTCCTTGGTGACCACAGTCATGGCCATGGTGTTAGGGGGCACCAGCTCCCCCGTGCCGGGGATGCGGCTGACCTGGAGCGAGCGGAAGTTGCTCTTGAGCGTGTTCTTGATACCCGTCTCTCGCTTCTCGCCCTCCTTCTTCCTTTCCAGCCCTTGCGTCGTCCAGTAATCCACCTGCAGACCCATCACCTCCACGCCGGGGCTGAGAGACCTGGGCGAGATGGGCAGCACCCACAGGTTCCTCTCCCTCTCCGTCGCCCAGCCGCGGCTTGTCCTGGGAAGCCCGGTAATCCCCCAGGAACCGACTGAGCGGGGGGCTTCCTTACCCAGCACCGGAGAGGCCGCTGCTGACAGACGGGGAGGGTGGTGGGGTGCTCACGGTCTCCTTGCCGTAAGGGGCCGTGGCACCAGCAGCCGGTGCTGAGCTCAGCAGGGAGGGGGTGCAGGCTGTGGCATCGTCCGAATCCACTGGGGAGGAAGAGTGGGGGTCGGGGGGGACGCCAACGAGGGCCTCCCCACAGGGGAGCCGGGGACTCCGGGCTCGCGGGGACTCACCAGAAGCGCTGAAGGACTGTTCCACCAGGCCCACCTTCACCACCTGTAAGGCCGGAGCAAAATGACACCCAGCCTCGGCAGGGCTGGGCACGCTGCCCCTCTGCCCCCACCCGGCCCCGATTGCCCGCCTGGCCCCTCAGCACACTCACCCCCACAAAGGGGACGAACTTCTGGCAGGAGTCCTCGTCGGGGCTGCGCGAGGAAGAAGAGGCTGCTCAGGGTGGGGGGGCGTGCTGAGCACCGAGTGCCACGCGGACCGGCCTTGTGGCTCAGGGACACCCCCCCCAATGTCTCCCCACGGGGTCTGTCGCCTCTGCCCTCCCCTCCCGTAGGACCCCCCTGTCCCCAGCATGGCAGCACCGGGCACACTACACAAGGAGGCGAGGAGCCAGCCCCTCCAGCGCTGGGAGAGGGGCTCGCATGCGGGAGGGCAGCCCTGCTCCTTTTTGGGGTCACGGCTCCTCTGCACGGCAAGAGGGACGGACGCACATGGATGGGGTTGGGGGGGTGGGTAGGTGGGGGGCGGGGGGAGGAGGCCAGGCAGCGTCACAGCAAGCGCAAGCCAATACCTGATATAAAAATCAAAATAGAGACTTCTCTTCCTTGGGTGCCAGAAACCAAGAGAAGGGAGAGGTGAGAGTGCAGCTGGAACACGAGCGTCAACCCCGGGGGCAGCACCGTGCCGGCTCGCGGCCCCCCCCCCCCGGCCCAGCCCAGCCCAGTTGGTCCCCACGAGTCCCAGCTCAGAGGGGCCAAGCACACGGGGAGGGTGGGGTGGCAGGGGATAGGCTCTGCAGGCCTCTCTCTGGGGAACCCCAGCTCCCCTCGGCACCCAGCCGCGGAGCAGAGCCCAGCCCGGGGCCACGCTCACCTTTTCTGCTTGTACGTCAGCATAGCCTCGGAGATGGGGAGCTGGTGAGAGAAGCTGGCTCCGGCGATGAACTGGGTGACGCGGCCCGCGATGTCCACAGTGTCTAAGGGGGGGGGCAAAGAGCCGGGGGGGGGGGGGGGGGGGTTGGTGACAGCCCTTCGGGGGGCTTGTCAAGCCCCGCTTGCCCCCGCGCTCCTCACCTGCAATCGGTGGCTCGGCCCTGCTGAACAGCTCCCGCCACGCCGTGTCCAGGAAGAGCGTGCTGTACTTGTTATCCACCGAGGCGAGGTACTTGGCCAGAGGGTGGGAGCCTACGGGGGAGAAAGGCAACGCTGAGCTCCAGGCAGGGGAGGTGGTGGGAGGGGAAGACCCCGGAGGGGGCCAGCCGGGCCGGCGGCGGCTCTCACCCAGCGGCACGAGGAGAAAGCGAAGGTAGTTGAGCCAGTCGGGCGTCTTGCTGGCCAGCTGCTCCACGAAAAAACGGAGGACAACACTCAGGTAGCTCTGGTCTCCCGCCACCACCACCTTCACCGGGGGAGGCATGTGGGAGTTACAGTTACAGCTGCCAAAGGGAGAGAAAAGGAGACCGTGCGGGACGTGCGGTGGCTCAGCAGTCAGGTCGAGGGGCAGGGGACGTGCCCCGCCGAGGCCGGCCGACCCAGCGTCAGAAACCTCCGGATGGATCATTTCCAGCACTGCCCACAACCAGCACCGGGATGCCCCCGCTCTCCCCAGGGCCTGAGGCCCGCTGCTGTAGTTGTGTCCGCAATCCCCGAGGGTCCTAAGGAACCCTGGGGGGAGCCAGGGCCCTTCCCAGCCCTCGTCTGCGGTCCAAGCCGTACTCACTATCGCTGGATGCGGGAGACCGTGGTGTTGAAGGCTGCCTGGATGTCCGCCACGGAGCAGGTGGATACGACCAACTGCTTGTGCGCCTGGAGTTGCTCGCTCACGTACTGCCAACGTGGAGAGCTCGGGTTAAGGCAACCCTGGGACCAGCCCCAGCCCCTGGGGTCCCTGTCCCCACCCGCGCCGTGGAGGCCGAAACCATCCCCCGTCACCCTCGGCTGCGTGCCGGAGCACCCCAGCTCTGCTCCAGGGTCCCCCCTAACCCCCTGCTCTTTGAGCACAGCAGTCTGTCCTAAGAAAAGAAAAAAAAAAAAAACCAAAAAAACCAAACTGTCCTAAGAACCAGGCTTGAGGCAAAGCCTTTGGTCTGGGCACGCTCTGATTTAACCCCGCCAGCCCAACAGCAGGGCCCATCTCTAGGCTCAGTCTCCCTCTAGCTCATTCCCTTCTCTTGCTCTCTCCCACTGCGAGCACGCCAACGTCCTTCTGCGCGTCCTCAGGTGTCTGCGTGCAGCTGAAGAGTGGTAAACAGGCCGCTGTGCTAGACAAGGGGGCTTAGAAGATGCCATGAGCAGGTCTGGGAACGGGCACTGCTCCTTTTTTTTTTTTTTCCCCCCATCAGGACAAAGAGCTAGAGCAGGAACGCGCCAAGGATGCACGGCTTGGGTTAAGCCTCCACTGCCTCTCACTGAGAAGCCCCTTTTTCTGCCGCAAACCCTGCCTGGATTTTCCAGCACCGTTTCTGGACATCAGATGCAGCTGCAGGATCCTAAGAGGGTTTTCGCCAGCGCTTCATTTAGCTGCTGTTCGCACGTTTGCGCACACACACAAACACACACACACGTGGCCCTGCTCAGCTTCAGCAGCCAACTCCGCCGTGCACGGGAGAAGCAGGTACTCGTCAGGGGCTGGGGGACACGATGCCATCAGCACGAGGCAGGAAAACCTCACAGAGATCCCCAGCTCTGACAACGCGGCTGACGCTCCCTGGGAGCGGCCGGCTACGCTCTCCCGCCTCCGAGTGGGGAAGAGCCCCTCTGCTGCTTCCCAGGGCATCCGACAAAGCTCTGACCAGCGCGGTCACTGCGAGACAGGAGCAAGCAGCGAGGGCACGAGGTTACAGTCCTGGGACCGCTCGTCCTGCTGTTTGACACGTGGCGGAGGGGAGACACCAGGCTCCCGTGGATGCAGCTCAGCGCGGTGCAAAGGCATTGTCCCCGCAGAGGGCCACGCTGGCGGGGAGGGGAGGGCACGGCTGGCGCCCCCGGACACCCTGCCAGGGTTGGGGGAGAATCCCCCTGGCACCCTGCTTACAGCTCTCCCCCACGCATCCAGCTCCCGTCCCGCATACTGACCTGCCCCTGCCACTCGGCAACGTTCACCAGCACAATGCTCTCAGGGAGCTGCTCGTCCGAGACCAGGATCTGGTTCAGCTGGTCGTAAACAGATTTCCGGGGCACCTACGACAGCGTCACCACCAAGGTTAACCCCAGCGGGCTGCCTCGGCCGCCCTCTCAAGTGAGGAGCCCGCAGGTGAGGCGGGTTCCAGGGCCTCACCTGGGTGCTGTGCCAGGAATCGGGAGAGCTCTCGCTATCCAGGCTGCTGGCGCGGCCACCCTGCCCCTTGGAGCTCTGCCGGTCCTTCACAGAGGTGCTGCGGGGACGCCACAGCTGCTTGCTCTCCGCCTTGCTGCCAGCCAGAAGCAGGAGAGGCGACACCGTCGGAGGAAATCCCATCTCCACCAACCTCCCCTCATCCCCCCGCTCCTAGGTGGCTCCAGGGAGGCAGCGCGAGCCCCCCCCTCGGCCCCGGCGTGGGGCACGGACCCACCTTACCTGGGGGACACGGCACTGGGGAGCTCGGCTCTGGTCCCGGGGCCCAGCCTGTCCGCGCCGCCCTCCCTCGTGGCAGCCTCCGCGGGGGCCGGCCGTGAGCACGGCTCCTCTGCAACCAGCTCCTGAGGGCAGCACACCGTCACTCCACGCACGCAGCTCCCTGACCCTGACCCTCACTCCACTCTTGCTGCCCTCCAGCCCAACCGACGTGTCCACCCGGCCCTGCTCCCGGGCGGGCGGGACACCCCTCGTACCCCAGAAAACAAGGTGGGGGCTTGAGGGAGCTCCAGCCCCGCTCTGCCTCCCGTAGCTTGGACTCACCACCGCAGGGACCTCCGCTCCCGGCTCTTCCTGCGGGCGCAGCGCTCCCGGCTTCCGCGTGTCTGCCTTGCCCTGGGGAACGGGGAGTGGGGTCAGAGCAGTGTGGAGCGTCCCGAGCCGGGCAGCCGCCAGTGACCCGTGCCTGGCCTCGCAGAACACACGCTCCCGCAGGGGAGCCTGGCATCCCCCTGGGACCAGTCCCGGAGGACGCTCCCCATCGCTACCTGTCTGCCTGCGCTGGGATAAAGAAGAGGAAAGAAGGGAAGGAGCAGCCCCTGGCAGAAGCTGTGGCCTCAGAGGGAGCTGCGGGCACCGGAGGGCCGCTGGGCTGGCTGGGGAGGGAAGGCTGGGGCGGGGGGGGTGGGCAAGAGGTGGTGGTGGTGGTGGTGGTGTAACTCACAGGGCTGCCCGACTCTTGATCCTGCCCTTTCTGGCTGTGCAGACTGCCGATCTCAGTCTGGGAACCAGAATGAGAGACTCCCTCAAAGAAACGCCTGCAGAGAAACAGACAGACGAACGGACGGACAGACAGACAGACGGGAGAGAAAAAGGCAGGAATAAGAGAGGAACAAAGTCACCACGACCCCAGCACGCCCTTGCTGACCTGTCCCAAGCGCTGTGGAGAGGTCCCTCCGTGGGACACAGGGTCAGACACCCCAATGTCCAAGCGACTCGCCGCCTAGGAGCAGAGCTGCCAGCAGATTGCCGGCCCGGCACCCAGCGCCAGGGGCAGGGGCAGGATGGGGCCACCCCAGACCAACCCGGCTAAACCTGTGACCCCAGCGGGTTGGAGGCAGGGTCCCTGCCGCCTCGCCAGCAGCGATTTCTCTCTCGGGTGAGCCCCGACCACTGCAGGGCAGGGTGAGGAACCGTCACCTTGCCTCACCTCACTGGCATACGGTCCCTTGTCGACACCACAGCTCCAATGCGCTGCGGAACCTCTCTGCCCCGCCACGGCTCCCTGCTGCCTTCCCTTCTGCTTCCCTTTTTCCAGGGAGGGCTCCTCGCCTCTGGCTGCTGCGCGCTTCCAGCAGCAGCTTCCACCTTCCCTTTCTGCTTTCCCCTTTCCCGAGCCTCCGAACGCCACGGTACCGTGCACAGAACCACACCTCAGGTAGTGCAGCAGCACAGCAATGTCCTGGTTTGTTCCCCAGCACTTAAATTTGCCTTTTTTTTTAGGTCTCCGAGCTGGTACTTCAGTAGAGCTGCACAGCGCAACTCCGAGAGTCCCATTCCCAAGTCACAGTGGTCAGCACAGGAACTCCCTTGGGGCAGCAGGACTGTCTGCCTCCACAGCGTGAGCTGCCACCTTTGCCTCCCCTTTTTCCACCCGCTATTTGTTTGCCAAGGAGCCCCCTCCACATCCTGTGGGCTGCTCAAAGACCAGTCTTTAGGAAACAAGCAGGCTCTGTCACTGGATCTCACCCGTCAGCTTTCTGAGCACCCCTGCAGCAACTGCAGCCCATCTGCAGCGTGTGGCTTTCCCGCAGGAGACCCGAGCTAGTTTCCCTCTGAGCTGTATGTATGTATTTGCTCACTAATGCCCAGAAAAACTTTCTCGTGATTTGCCTGGTGTGCAGATGGGGGATACCAGGTTGCAGGTTTCCTGGGACGGCCACAGAGGCGTAGGATATGGAGCAGTTCTTCTGTTAGGACTCTGCCAGAGTTTCTGTGGTTTTCTATCGTCCTCATCTGGATATATCTGCAGCTTTTTGCAGGATTCCTACAGACCTCTGAACATCCTGGCTGCTCCTTTTAACACGACTCCTCGTTTGCATACAGCATGCTGTGCTGCCCAGGCACAACAGCATTTGTCAGCTTCTTTGCTCTTACTGCTCCTACAAGGACATTTCAGCTCAGGAGTCGACGGTCCCCATCACAGAGCAGCTCTTCAGCAGCAGTGTTTATACACCGGCTGGGAGAAGTCGAGGCTCACTTTTCCTCCCTCTGGCTCCGTGATCAGCTGCCTCATGACATGTTCATTTACCAAAGCTCCACGTTTAGAGGTGGAATTGCGCCCTGGTGGGACATTTTCTGCAGGTCACTCGGGGATAAACGATGTCTCCTGTTATATTTCTGCTCTCTCCACCCCTCCAATCTCTTGCTACAGGAGCTCAGGCATTATCGCCACCCTGTACAGTCATTACTCTACACTTGCCTTTGCTCAGCCAGCAGTTTCAATCCATGCAGACTGTGTTAACTTCAGAGTGAAAACAGAAGCATGTAAGTTTTCTAGTAATTCACTCCCCAGTCAGCATCTCTCCCACGCTCCTCTGTACTGTCCCAGTAATCCCACCAGAACGTGACATACCCCTAGGGCCACTGGCACCTCTAAAAGGTGTCTTCATGCCCTCCTTTTTCTTGGAAAGTGGATGTGTCTAGATTGGATACGCTTGGTCTGCCTTTCAACACCCCATTGGAACGGGGCTGTCTCCCCAACTCCCCACGGAAGCTGTGTCTGCATCTGCTCTCCCTCACTTGCAGTTCAGAAGTTTTCATCGCTAGAGGATGTGTCACACGGAGCACAGAGCTCTTCTGCAGTTCTCATCCTTCCCTGTCCTTCAGTTTGGAGGCTCTCCTATCGTCAGGAGTCTGAGTCTCAGCAGGTTGAGATTTAGGTAAACACCAGCCCTTCTGCACAGCCTCCTGTTTTCAATTATTTAGGCCCCTCTCCCCTATTCATTCTCCCAGTTACCTACGGAGACATTTGCTCCTCTACCTCCGATCTTCCATCAAAGGCTCTGACTGTGGAGGTCTCACCTAACAGCCTCAGATCTAGCTCCAGTTTTGCCCCAGTGCAGGAGCAGTCTGTCTGCTCCCAACACCCCTGGCCCAATCCAAGCCACTGGCCACTGCTCACCCGTAAGGACTACCTTACCGCTCTTGCTCCAGAGACCTTCACAGTGTCTAGCAAGGCAATGACAATAAATAAATCCAACACGAGGATCGCATCTTGAATTTACAGGCTGGGCTGGAAGGTCATCACCAGCTGAGGAGGCCACGCAGGGCCCTGAAACCACGCAGTCCACACTAAAGACCTTGGCAGTCAGCTCCCACACGTCCTTAGAAAAAGTGCAGACGCGGTAATGTGAATTCAAGGGGATGCACACTCAGCACTGCCAGAAACTGAGGCACTAGAGAGCAAACCAAGCTACAGACACGTTGTGGACAGGCTGAAAAACAGCCCAGGGCTCTCCTACCAGAGACAGCAGCTAACACCCAAAGACTGTAACGGGAGGTAGAAGCACAGCCCAGCACTTACTCTATCTAGGATGCTCTCCCAGTGACCAGATGTTTGCAAGTAGGCTCGCAGAACCAGGGCAGGGTCTTATATTTAAATACTCTCAATAGATTTTTCTTACAGTTTACACAGTTTTATAGTTTACATACAGAAACTGCTATCTGACCACAGAAAGACCTTTTTTTCCTCCCACAGCACCTTTGGTTCCTTTGATGAGAGACCACGTGAAACTCCTTCTGGAGTCCACGCAGACCAGCTAAGCAGTTCCCCCTTGCCCAGGTGCCTGCTGTCTCCCTCACAACGACTTGTGGGTTTATGGAAAACACAACTTCTGTCACCTTCCTTTCTCCCCTAGCGCCCCACGGGTTCCTGAATCCAGCAGATTTCATTTCAAACAGTTTGCCTGTGTCAGACCAAGTCTGCTACCCCTTCAGCAGGGATTACAACTAATTCAGACTATATTTAAATACCAAGCTACAGAAACAATAATGACGAGTAAGCTTGGCTTGGCTAGGCTAGAAGAGAACCCAATGCACTGTGAGGCAGCCAAACAGGAAGGCAACTTTTTCACAAGAGGACAGCACAGAAACAGAACAGCCATGAGCAGAGAGGCCAGGTGAACACAGATGACGTGGGAGAAAAGCCTGGTTTCACTGCACGGTCCACTGGAGACCTCTGTGCCAAGTCAGCAGCACTTGGCAGAGCAAGTCAAGCCACCGGGTGCCTGGGGAATGGGGGGAGGAACAGTGCCGCTGGTTGCTAGCCACATGTCTTCTCAAAGGGTAGGAATGCAGCGTGCAGATCTCACGTGGACGCAAGGACTGGCCCAAGCGGTCACAAAGAGCTCAAAAGACAGGCATGCTTCAGTGTGGAGAGCCCTGAGAAGGCCAGCACTGTCAGAAGAAACGGGTGAGAGCTGGGAACAGTGGGAGCTTAGATCAAGTAGCTGCTCTTCCAGCAGATCAGTAAGTGTCAGATGCTGGGCTGGCAGGAAATTAAATGTGAAGGAAGCCAGTTTTAACGGGCAGTTTTGGGTTTATTAAACAGGATATGCAAGGGAGGAGCTCAGTGGTGACAACAGAAGATGGTGATGGGAGTGGAGACAAGGCAATGCCAGCATTAGCCCAAGCACCAGAAAAGTGTCATTTCTCCAGGTCCCACAGACTGTGCTGTCAACCTGTGAGTCCCTGCAACCCTTACCTCAGGGTGGGCTTGGGTGTGCTGTGCACACTCTCATTGTCCTCAATCTCCGGGCCGCTGTCACTGTTGTTGCACTCTTCCAGGCTGTCATAGAGCAAGCCCAGGTCTTCCTCCACCTCCTGGGTCTGGTCTACAGGGTCAGAGTCCAGGACCTGTGGGACCAAGCCCAGAGGGGAATGAAGAGATATGGAGTCACCTGCATCCTAGGCCAGGCACGTACAAGCCCCCTCCCAGCCCCGAGGCACGCCGCGGCACTGCTCCCACCGCAGAGAGCCAAATCCAGGCTGTGGAAGAAGCAAGTGGCACTGTCATTGGGCCAAAGGAGGGTGCCGTGAGCGTGACAACCAAAGGAGTCTCAGCTACCCATCATACTTATTGGGAGTTAAGACACCTGGGAAGATCACCGCTGGCTGTGCTGCTACCCCCAGGCTGATGTTAGCCTGCTCTGAGTCGTGAACAGAATTACCCCTGCAATGCCAGCTCCTGGGGCAGAGCCACTGTGTGACAGCACCCTTCTTCCTCTGGTCCCTCTACCCAACAGGAAGGTGGTTTTGATTCAGGCATGAGGCTCGGAGCTGCCTTTTTGAAGCAGAAGACTTTGGAAAAGCCAAGGCCCAGTCTGTGCCGTGTCTCACACCACTAACAGCCCTGAGCCCCTGCAGCTCACGCCCTGTGCCCCCAGTGAGTGGGAACCAGCACTCTGACACCTACACGCCTGCAGGAGACACCGGCAGGTGGGGCAGCCCTCCCACTTCTTACCTCCTCTGTCACTTTAAACCTCTTCAGCAAAGCCACAAATTTCTGCTTGAAGTTTGGTTGCTAAAACAAAACAAGGGAAGAAAAAAAGATCAGCAGAACTATCAAACCACATTCCAAGATGACTAACGTTCAGGCCACGGTTGCTCTCCGTAACATGCCACTGGCTCCCTTCTGGGTCCAGAGCTGCCAGGTCAGCTACGATCTCCCTTGTGCTTTAAATTTGCTGTAGGATGTGGACTACATCTGGACTCTGCAAGAAGCCACTGTATCTGCGCATGAAGTAGGGTGCAAGGACTCAGACTCCCTGCTACAGGCTGCAATAGCATTTTTTCTCCGTTTAAATCCCCTTTCTCCCCAGACCATCTGGCTGAGGAATGCTGCCTCCAAGCAAGAAAAGATGGGGAACAAACTCAGGAAGAAGGTGCTCAGGGACCTGCAGGGCTGAAGCAGCTGGGGACAAGCAGATGCTTGGAGAGCATGGGGCTGGCAGGGCAGCTTCTCCCTTCTGCTGACAGGCAAAGGAGCTGCTAATGGTTCACCCTCCCCTGCACCAACCTTTCCCTTCCCCAGGGACGGAAAGAGAAGAGACCAGGTCACAACAGCAAGTCAAAACTGTTGCACACAGATCATCATTGATACAAAGCCAGGCTAAGCACAGTACAGACACCGTAAGCTGGGGTACAGCTCTGAACAGCAAGCTACCTCATTAATGGCAAGAGGTTTGCCCCTTCTCAAAGCCAAGGGCTCTCTCCCCTGCTTTGCACCAGTGCCAGCATCCTCCCCAACCCCCCCTGCCTCTCCCCGCGGGGAAGGGAGGAAGTGAATCCCCCTCCATCCCTTTGCTCATGTTGTAAATGCTGATGTTACTCTGGTCATTGATGTGGTTCGGATCATTTTCCTCCTAGCCTTCTTGGTTTTCCTCAAGTCATCTTCTTCATCAAAGAGATCCTGCAGGCAAGAGGTCACAGCGCGTCAGAGCAACTCAGCGTGCAGGGAGCGGCATCTCCTCGAAGTTTCCCTGACCCACGTTTGCCCCCCATTTTGAAAAGCTTTGGTCCAGGCTGCTCCCAGAGTCTTGCTTTCACTTCTCCCACCTCTCTCTATGCAGCTCCTTCTCCCTCCTTAGCACTGCCCAACAGACCTTCTTTCCCAGCGCCTTTGCCCCCACACTCCCCCCAAAGGGACGTGTACCAGCAAGACTCAGAGGAGTGACAGCAGCTTTCTGCTACCTAAAACTCTTCTCTCTGCGCTCACCAGCCTCCCCATGACCCACAAGTTCTGCTCTTCCCTCCCCAGGATTAAACCAGAGGGCACAGCACCTGCACTCACAGAAAGCGTTCTCCCAGGGATCAGCCCTCAACACCACACACAGCTCCCAGGGACGTGGCACGCTGATGTGTTAACTTAGCACGGCGGGACGGGTAACGTGGAGGACCCTGAGCAGGGGTTTGTCCCTGTGCTTCATCAGCACGCTACCACAAGTCTTTTTTGGCCTCGAGTGTAAGCCCCACAACAGGAGGACAGCAAGCAGCAGTGGCACAGCTCATCGCAGGACTGGGATGGGTCTCCCAACCTCTGACCGTTTTCAGACCCAGACTGTACTTCTTCCTAAAATCTACGTTCTCTCTCAGAGAGAGGGCAGCCTCTGGCCTGTTATCACAGGGAGACGGGAAAGAATCGCGGTGCAAGATGGAGGGGGCTCAGCAGGGGTTTTTATGCTGCAGACCAGACAGTTCCATGGACAGATGGGCGAAACCTATGGTTCTCCAAAATCCCTTGCCCTGCCATGGACCTGAGAGCAGCCCACACTTCTTCCTGTTGTCAGGTATTGTGGCTCTCTGCCCTCTGAAACTGCGACAAATGTTTACGAGGGAGATGAGAGGGCTCAGGGTGATCAAGACCCTCAACCCCTGACACTTGCCCCAGAAATGGGACCAGGACGTAAGGTACCTTGACAGGCCTCCCTTACCTGACCCTGCACAGCATCATCGCTGGCTTCCTGCTCTGAGGAGAAGCTGTCATCCTCTTCTTCAGAGTAGTTATCAATGTCCGGGGAGCGATCTGAAAGCAGACAGTGCAGATGCCGCAGCTAAGCGTGCCGCCCGCCATGGCTCCAGTAAAATGATTAGTATGGCTGGCAGGCGTTTGGGGATGCACCCCGTTACCCACGCCCTGACCCAAACGCTTGCCTTCAGGCCTCTGATGAGCACTGACGCACCTGAAGCTTTGATTTTAGGACCCGAAGGGATGCTCCCGTCCTCGTGGTCGATGGGCTGACTGGACAAAGAGTAGATGCTGATTTCAGCCACTCGGATGTTCACGTCCTTCATGTTGCTGTGGAGGCCCAGAAGCTGCCCGCCATCCGTCGGGTGCTGCATCACCTAGGCAGACAGACAAGCCTCCTGCCAGGGTGACACAGTGGCAGCTGGCAGCCCACCCCCCCTCTGCCATAGCTAGCCAACAAGCCAGAGCACTCACAGCACCGAGCGCCTGCCAGCCAGCCCAGCTCCCCGGGGGGCCATGCCAAGCTCCCCTCTGATCCCAGCACCCGGTACCTCGGCCATGTTAATGATGCCCACTGCAAGGGTCTTGTAGCCCAGGATCGTGCGGTTCTTGTATCTCTTCCTCCGCTGCAGCATGATCTGCAGTTTGTTGCCGTCTCTCTTGAGGAAGTGTGGGTACTGGGGAAGGGGAGCACGGGGAAGATGGCAGGGCTTAGCGTGACACACGGGTAGAAAACTCTTCCTCAGTGCTGATGCACAGCAGGATCTGACCTGCTGAGCTTTGAGCTGCCTCCCCAATGCCACGGGCACTCCACACTGTTCTCCAAATCCCCATGCCCCGCCAAAGAACCCCTGGAGCGATGGAGCAGCTGGCCAGCAGCAGGAATCCCTGCTGTTATGATCAGTGAATGGGCAACTGCAGGAGGTCCCTCTTCTGAGGCTGCCGCCTTCACACTGAGCCCCCAAAGCCATGCTCGCCGAGAAATACCAGGGGAGGGTAGCACCAGGGGACCAGGCAACACGAAGTACCTGCAGTGAGAAGGTCAGCTCCAGCTCGGTCTCCATCAGGCCACCAGGAGGGAGGACGTATTCATTTGATCTCAGGACTCGCTTTGAACCCTACAACAAGATTGGTAGGGGCACACAGCTAAGCTGGAGCATCTCGGCCACAGCCTCGACCGCAACGCACACGCAGCGGTGTTCGGAGTCCGCAAAGCAAGTGCCAGTGCCTTGCCTCCGTTCTGTTCCACCTCGCAGAGCCACCTTACGCACGCCAATCAATGCTTCGCAAAAGCCTGCAGTTTCCCCGAGCTGCCAAAGGCACCTTCTCCTTGCCCACGTGCCAGGAGTTCTTCCCGAGCTCTGCTTAATCTGGCTCCATCCACCTGGAGCCCGCCGGACGCCGCGGAGGGGCACGCTGCTGGAGCCAGACGGAGCCATGCGTACAGCCCCGTCAGGGCAAGGAAAGCGTCCCACCACTCCGCCCAGCCAGGAGAGAACAGGTCCTGGAGCACATCTCTGGCCCCCGGCAGACAGACCCAGTGCAGACCCCTGCCCAAGCACGGCTGGCAGGATGACTCCGCCGGGACCAAGGCAGGATGTCCCAGGGGAACAGGAGTCCCCCCCGCTTGCCCAACTTGTGGCAGAAAATTCCTCCTAGTCTTTTCCTTGGACAACAGTCCTTACCTGTCCACATATACAACAGGGTTTTGCCCCAGGAGGGCAGAGTCACTCTAGCCGTGTGCCCACTCTGACTCTTCCCTTTACTTCTGTCCTATCTTTACTATCTCTACGGCTTGGCTGCTGACAGAGATGCTGAATGAATAACGCTGGCTGCATGCACCGGGCTTGCTTGGTCACAGGGTGGCACAACTCACAGACCCTCCAGAAGGCCCACGCCCGCTGGCCCTGTCCCCGCAGGGCTCTGGGACCAGCTCCGAGGTGGTTCCTCGCTCTCTCCTGCCTCCCCGTGAACGGGCCAGCAAGCTGAGACATTGATTTAGGGATGCAACAGAATAGGCCAGTACAGCTGTTCTTGCAAATCAGTTATGATTGCTTTTGTGAGCACTCCTTAAGTTAAACACTGGGCTTGCGAGCAGGTGGGTCAAAGCTAACCAAACAGGCGCAGCAGTCCAAAGGGACCAGCTCCCACCTCGTGTACGTTGTCCCTTCCCAGGACCTCAGTGCATCCCCGCACCTTGCCCAGCTTGCTCCTGACAGATGCCGTGGCCAGCAGGATCCTAAGGTGGCTGTGGCCAGAGACCCTCCAGCAACTTGGACAAATCCTGGATTTGTCTGAGGTTAGAGCCCTGGTGAGGTTAGAAGCCCCAGCTCGTCCTCTCCACTGCAGATGGGACGGCAGCCCCAGAAGTCATGACAGGAGCATGCGGGTGGCATTGCAAAGGCCACCTCCTTCACATCCCCTCTGCAATCAGGGAGAAGGGCCATGTGCACAGGCGCGATTCAGCACCCAGCGAGCACCAAGGAAGCTTGCTGATGGGAACTTCAGCAGGGTCCAGCAAGCCTGGGCACTGCTGACACAAGGCCTTTCTTGCATCTCCACTGCTGGTAAGGAAAAAAACAAAAGGCAAGAAAGGCCTCTGCATTTTGCAGTGATGCAAAGACAAGCTCTAGCAAAACCCTCCTTGCTTTTCAAGAGGCCCAGTCTGAGCTGTCTGCAATGTTGATCCCAGCAACTGTGCCAGGAGCGAGGCTTTCCTGTGAAAGGTCTTCCTAAAACTGAAGAGAGGAGGTGGAGCTCATCGCCTTCACCATCTGTGAGTTTTCCTGGCCAAGAATGCACTGACTCTTCCTGAACTATTTCTTTAGTATGAGGTGATAGGTGGTCACTGTGACAGTGACCATTTACTGTAGCACATTTACCACTTGCTGTTTGTTGCAGAAAGATTATCCACCAAAGATTCGTTCTTCCATCAAAACACACGGACTAGTGCCATTATTTTTCTGGAAGATTGCTATTTCTGGGGGCAGTTACAGCAAAGGAAAGGTGAGGACAGCCTGGGTGGTGAATCACTGATCCAGTGAGTGAAGGTTTCATAAACATTGCTATCCTATGTGCTACTGTCATTTACCACTATGGCAGTGATACACCCAGCTCCAACCCTAGGCACCGGCCCTCGGTGAAATGCCGGTGCGCATCCCCATGGCATTTCAAGGATTGGGACAAAGGCTGGTTTGTTATCACAGTGCAAGCAGAAGGGAGCAGCAGTGGAGCTCAGAGACCCTCTAAACAGCAGTACTTTTTAAGTCCAGGCCAGTGACGTGGCAGGCTGCACCCTGGCTGAGCTCGAGCCCTAGGAGGTACCCGATCGGTGGGGTCACATGAAGGGGGAGAAATCAGAATGTCTAAGCTCAGCCAGGGGACCAGCTCCCAGGGCACCACAGAGCATAGCACGTGGGACATGGGGTAGAAAAAGGGCTAGACATTGTGCTGCAAACGCTGAGAGGTACACTCCTCTCGGCAAGGTAAAGCCACTGCCTAAAGCTCAAGTTCAGCCTGCAAGGTACGGTAGGTTTCACGAAGCGGATGGCACCCAGATCCAACAGGAAACACGGATCACCTTCAGGAGCAAACCACCACCCAGCAGAAGCTAGCACTGCTCCAATTAAACTGATCAGAAACTAGCACCTGGGGGCTGTTACCTGCCCCTCAGCAACAGGGAGTCAAGAACAATTTGGGATTTCTAGTAAGGTTGGCACAAACCTCATGAAGTTCAATAAAGGCAAAAGCAAAGTCTTTCCCCACAACACCCCACGACTTTGCTGGTTTGGAAGAATCCCAGGCAGCAGGACAGGCTCTGCAGAAAGGGACGGGGGAAATCCCGGGGGACATCAAAGTACCCCATCACTGGCAGTACGTCCTGTTGCAGCAATGACACCAATCTCAGCCTCAGCAAAGGTACAGGCATAGACAAGGGATTACTCCCCTCCATTCAGCACCAGTGACACCACAACTGGCTTCCAGAGCCAGTTTGGGCTCCCCAGTACAAGACAGACATTGACAGACTGGAGCAAGTCCAGCCGAAGCCAGCAGGATGGTCAGGGGCTGGAGCACAAGATGTACAAGGAGAGGCTGAGTGAGCTGGGTTTGTTCAGCTGGGAGAGGGCGAAGACGTGCTTTACTGCTGCCTACAGACACTTAGCAGGAGGGTGCAGAGAAGACAGAAGTGAACTCCTCTCAGAGGTACACAGGGACAGAGTGAGAGGTAACGGGGATGAGCTGGAGCATGGGAAATTACCATTAGATATTAGGATTTTTTTTTTTTTCCTGCAAGTGCAGTCAAACCTTGGGACAGGACACAAAAAGAATGAGGATTCTCCATCCCCTGAGAAATTCAAACCTCAACTGGACACGGCCCTGAGCACCTGTAGCTCAGCTGTTCTGCAATTTGAGTAACAGCAGGCAAGATCAATTTCTCAGCAGAACAGCTAAGTATCACCATCAGTACTACAGGAAAATTTAATACCAGACTGTTAGAGTGAAGAACAGAGATGACAAAGACTGTCAAGGAAGTGAAAAGCAATAGGAAGAGGTTGTGGTCACAGATCTTCACTACCTAATAGACTGAAAACACACAGGAGCTTTTGCTACTATACACTGGCACATGATGCCCAGGTCTGGTTTGCAAGGTACAAAACCCAGTTGCAGGTATAAATTTGTCCTGATGGGTCTGGTTTAAAACACAGGGTTGAGGCTAGAAAGCCAGCATACCAAACCTGGAAAAGGAGAGAGAACTAATACAGTGTGGGAGACCAGGCCAAGGCAGACAGCAAAGCACTACGCAGAATTCAAGCTAAAGATGCATTTTGGGAGAGAATAGCCCATTAAATATCATCAGCAAATTTAGCTCTTTGGGGGGTAGCTGGGATTGCACAGGCAGGAGTGGAAAGTCCTACAAGTGGTTGCAAAAAAGATTAGGAATAAAGCGTGAGGTACAGACAGAAAACTCTGCATGTACCTTCCATGCGTAGCAAGAGGGAGCAAAAATCCAAGTTCCGGCAGGGAACGGGGCTGGCAGAGGCAAACGACCTTCTCAGCCCAGCCTAATCTGTAGCACACATTCTGGCCCGCTACGCGGGGGCTGCCAGCATCATCCCTCTACAGCAGCACCAAGGGTTGAACCTGAGTCAGCAGCCACATCCTGCAAGCAGCTGCGGGAGGATCTGCATCCCTCTCACAGCACTGTCACAGGAGCTGAAAGTTCTGGGAGCCGTGGGGCTTGTTTGCTTCTTTCTTTGGTTCTTTCCTCTATTCAGGGCTCAAGACTGGGTGTTTCTGAATTATAGTAAGTCTCTCTGCCGAGAGGGAGCACCATGTTTCCCTTCACACCATAATCAGTTGCGACACCGAGACAGATACCTGCACCTTTATGGAGCTGCGCCAGGCACATGTGAATCTCTTAATGCCATGCTGAACAATACACAGAAGGAAACGCCCCATGACATCTCCGGTCTGTTAAAACAAATAGCAAGGGATGAAGGTTTAAAAAGCACTCAAGTGATATGAGAGTAAGTTCCCTTTTTCGCAGCAGTTCAGACTTTATCTCACTGGAAACCCCTGAGCATTAAATAATCAAATCACCTCTGGGAAATGGGTATGTTCTGTAGACACAGAAAGCTCCCTTAGTCCTTTGACAGCAATCTTTTCAGATGAAGGAACAGATAACAGCACATGCCACACTTGGAAGCCAGAAGGGCACGATCCCTGTGAGAAGATAAGATATTCCAGACAGGTTTACACCATCCTTTTGGTCATGTACATTCATTGAGCGGACTGTCTCCAGGGCTGGGGCTGTTGTCTTGGTGCCAGCCCCACTCCAGCAGGGTCAGAGCTTTGTTTCCATGCAATCTGCCTTTCAGAGGAGCAGCTTCCTGACAGGCAACTTCCTTACCCAACAGAGCTACTACAGAAATGAGAGAAAATATAGCTCCCCTTTCCACTAGTCCTCAGCTGCCCCCCTGGGAACTTGCGGGTCCTCCACAAATTACATGCATCAGCTGTTTCCATCCAAAAGATGGAGATGGCAGCACTTGCTGGGCAGCCTTCAAACAGCTCCTCGCTAGCATGACTCATCTGTTACCTAGGAGAGGAGCAGGAGGGATGGATCCATCTGAGGCCACTCTGTAGGCAGGCTGCGCTGAAGCTGCCTACAGCTTCCATCTGCCTTCCAGGAAGGCTCAGCAGTCCCCGACCCTGCCAAGGCGGCTGGTCAGGCAGGTGGAAGCAGCCCGGGAGGCACACAGATCCACCCCACTCCCACAGTGAGTACTGAGCCACGAGGTAATGTGGGCAGAAGCGTTCTCCTCCAGTTTCTTTCGGCTTTGCAGGCAGCCTCCCCCCGCACGCAGCCACAGGTGTGTGGCCACACAGAGAGGAGGTGACCGTGTCAGAATTAAGAGCCTGAACACAGGCTCCATTCCCTGGCAGGGAGCCCTGTAGCAAAGAGCCCCCGTGGCCTCAGACTGCTTACTGTTAACTTCTGTTGCCAACGGGGTGCAAGTTTGGCCTGTGGCAGGCGTGGGGGTGATCTGTTTGAAAGAGCTGGAGCCCCAGGGTGCAGCCCCCCTTCCACAGTCTCCGACTGCAGTGCATGAGCGAGGGGGCAGCTGAGGACGTACATGCTCAGCACACGGCAGCCCCAGCAGAAGAGGGGCTGCGCAGGAGCTCCCCCAGTCCGGAGATGCACAAACAGCTTGGGCCGACAGTGCAGGAGATAAAAGGAGTGAGGGACTGGCCTAGCCAGCCACGTGGGACACACGGACCACAGCTGGCTCCCAGCTCCTGGCATCTGTGGCCCAGACTTGATTGCTCCCACATTTCCAGGGGCCAGGCAGCTCACTCCTGCCCAAATCGTCCCCTTGCTAAAGCCTGCACCAAAGGGGCACAGGTCTCTGGGATCGCAGGGCTGAAAGCCCAGTGCTTTCCGCTCTCCTGACTGGCACCATACACATGGCGATGGAAACACCAGCAAAGGTGGACACTTAGTGTGTGGACCACAGCACCGTCCTGCTGTCCTCACTCCAGGCCCCCAGTTTCACACATTTTGCTTTCAGTTCCTTCTGTGCAAGCGAATCAGATCGGCCGTGAAGGGAAACCCCGGCTCCCAGAGCTCCACCAAGACCGCAGCTTCCAGCACTAATCCAAGATTTAGATCCTAATGTGTGCGGCACAAATTGCTCTGTGGGAGTGCAAAGCTGCTGAGCTCCCACCCCACAGCGCTTTCAATGGGATCAGCAGCTTTTCTGCCAGCTGAGAAGAACGAAGGAAGGACACCGGCCTCTCAGCTGCGTTCGGGGAGCTGAAGCAAGGACCCCATACTCAAGAGGCATCTTGCTCCCCTGCTGCCCTTTGGCAGGCAGAAAGGATGTGCCTGCACCAACGGGGACCCATCTCTTCACCACCAGCTGCAGAGAGGGAGGGGTGAGGATCACACATACCAGGATGGTGGCAAATTCCCTCTCCCCTTAGTGACAAAGATCCTCTCCCCTTCCCTCTGCATGGCTCAGAGTAGAGGCAGCAGGCCTGGCGGGGATGCACAGAGAAAGGGAGGGGACAACAGAGGTAGCAGTGAGATCACACAGGGTGCAAATGTCAGCAGAAGTTGTGCGCAGAGCCACTGATCCCTTGAACCCTTCCCCTTCCCACCCCTCACTCCCCAGGGAGGGGAGGGCACTGCCAGCGACCACCCAGCACTGAGCCGGTCTAAAGGGTCAGGAACGGTGGGGTGGGGGATGCCAAACTGGGAACAACAGCTGAGGCAGCAGGGGAAGCAAGACATGCTCTATCCCAGTGCAGAAGCCTAACCAAATTCATCCCTGATACAAATCAGCACCAGGCAGCTTACTGCTGTCCCTGGGGCATCGTTCCCACCTCCCTGAGAGCCAAAACCTCCCCGAGGGAGCTGAGACAGAAGCGAGGGGTTGGCACAAGGCGAGGGACATGCAGTCCAGCACTTCGCAGAGGGGACAAGGATGGGCTTTGCTGCCATCAGGCAGCAGCAAGGAGAAGAGCCTACCTGAATCTTCACAGCGATAAGCACAGAGCTCAGCTCTTTGTCCAGCTCTTTCAGCACCGTGAGTTTCTTCAGGCGCAGACTGCAGAGCCTGTAAGATAGAGAGAACGGGACACATTCAGGCACCACCATCCCTGGGGCCCTGCCACATGGCACCCGGTGCTCGGAAAGCAGGCTGGATGCTTGGCCCAGCTGCAGGCACAAGCTTGGCCAAGGAACACTGGCATTCATGCACCACCGAGACAGCCCATTGGGGGGAAAAAAGGAAAGAAGGAAAATTAACAGAGCTAAAGCAGGCTTAAGGGATTAGCATGCGACAGGAAGTCCAACAGCAGGCCACGTGGTAAGGAGATCCCTTCCCAAGTAGGGCTGTTGCCAGCTCTGCTTAAATCTACCTTGGTCACTGTGCTGTTTATTTATAAACCAAAGCTCTTAAATCCACTTTTATCGTGGACTTAGTTAAGGTAAATGTCCCCATGCAGACATCACAACGCAGCTCTTCTCTTGCACAGCACCACACAGAGCTGCCCTGGGAAGCTGGGCAGCAGCAGCCCGGCACGAAGCCTCGTACAGCAGAGCCACCCCGACAACCTCAAATCCTGGGGACTCAGCGTGGTAAGTGGCACTTCCAGAAAAAAAAAAACCTCCAAGGAGCCTGGAGCCAAGTAGGAAGAGCTACTTCTGCCGCTCAAAGGATTAGTCAGTGCCTGTGAGACAGCCAGCCACCCTGACCTCCTGCCTAGAAGCCTGCAGCAGGATTCCCAGGGAGACTACTTGCGAGGAACTACATGTCAGGGAGCACAGGCCAAACACATTTCTACAAGCAACACTGGCAGTCTCACGTTTTGCCAGCTAGCCTGTGTGCTCCACACTTAATGCCTGCACTGCTGCAGCCAGTGGTACCTAAGATTTCTGTGGATACCGGTGTGCCCTACCTGAGATTTAGGCCACCCTTCCTGGAGAACAGATGGGCTGCAACCAAACAGCTTTCTGCCTGCTCTCTGAGGGCCGAATCTATTCCCTGCTGCTTTTGTGTTTTTTTTTTTTTGAAGTATAAAAAAACCTGCTCTGGCTATGCTAATGTACAGCAACAGTATAGAACAGCCCATGGGTGGAACAGTACTGGAAAGGGAAGGACAGGTTTAGGGCTTAGCAAGCACTCGCTTCCGACCACGTCCCTGCCCTCCCTGCTAAAATTATTTTAGCTTGTGCGGAAGGTTTGCTGGACTGTGACTGCAACCCTGCTGCTCTGTCCTTTGTGCTTGGATGGCAGGGTATGGTGGAGACCAGAAGTCAGGAAGCTGGGAGTGCAGGCGAGCTCTGCCCACCCCTCTGCCAGCTGGCCTGGATTCCTCCAGCCAAAGCCCAGGGCTACAGCCCCCTAAGCCCTCGTATCCTGCGCACCCCAGCACTGCAATCAGTGATCTCATCTCTGTCCATTCTTCCCCTCTGAGCCCCTGCTTGTAGGAAGGGAGAAATCTTATCATCTAGGGCAGGTTTCTTGTTCCCCAGAAATACCTGGGCAGGGTTGGGAGTGAGCTGTGGGGAGCATGGCCAAAGATAAGGAGGCCACCTCTAGGGCAGGACCGAGTGCTAGCCCGAAAGATGGGATGCAGCACCCGCACCAGATGTACTAAGGAAAAGCTTGCAAAGAGGCTAAGCTTAGCTAACATCACCAGCCAGCGCTAGCTTTGACTTGTCCCTATTCCCTAGAGAAGTCACAGAGAGCAATGAGGCCTGAATGTGTAAGTCAAGGGCAGAACATCTACTCAAATTTTTCATACAGCACTGAAATAGTCATGATAGTTACCTGCATGGTAACAAAAGTTATAGCCAAAAGATTAAACCTTCCATAAGGATATCCAGTCTTAATTAGAGGATATTGAAAGACTCTAATTCTACCTGGCAGTTGTTCTTATTGTAAAATACACTCCTTATCCAAACTAATCCACCCATTAGCTCTTCATGCTCCTCTCTGAGACACTCGGGAGTCCCATCAGTACCTGGTATTTTTCAGTGGAGAAGAGTATGTGCATGCTGATCAGCTCTGCCCATTTGGGAAGCTCCTTTATCTCCAATAAGGCACTTCAAAGCTTCTTTCTTCTCTTTCTAGCCCTTTCCAGTTTTCAAGATCTCTTTTGCACAGTGGGAGACCCTGTCCGCTGGTCCTTCCCACACCACACGCAGGAAGGTGGTTACTGCCTTGCACCTTCTGCTCTTCCCCTCCCACAGCACCCAAAGATCTCACTAGCTCAGGTATAGCTTAGACCCTGCGACTCCAAGCCCAGTGCCTTCCAAAGCAGTGCTTTCTAAAATACCATTACCCTTCCCACAGGCATTAGCGCACACATTCTGGAGTCTAAATGCACTTATTCGCAGCACAAGAGATTATGCAGCACATCATTTTTAAAAGGGTGCTCCCCCTAGCAGCATGGCTGTCCCCAATGACCCTCTTTTGATCTGTTACTTAACCAATACCCGCATCACCCAGATTTGTGTTTAGCTCCAGTACCAGACAGCAGTGGGTCTCTCACTAATCCCTGCAGATCTCTACAGGACATGACTGATCCACAGTGATCAGAACATTATGTGTCTCTGAACACTTCAGCCAAACCCCATGGCAACTACCCCACGGCCTTGCCGAGAGCTGATCACCGTGTGATCCCCCCAAGTCACTGAACTTTTTGGTAGGTAAAATATAAATCTGGATCTGCTCGCTCATATAATTAAACGGGGTAAATACCAACTGCTCTTGAGCTGTGGAACTACTGCACAGACTTCCCCTCTATTGAGTTGTGGTGAGCATGGCTGTGTAGTACTGAAAGCAACAAGGAAAATGAGCTCCAACAGGACAGTCTGGCAGCCTCCTGGACCTCCACTCCACTCTACTGCTCATTTACTGGTGAGAGGTACTCACCATTTCCTGCTATTATCTTCAAAAGCACTGCCTTCTTTCCAGCACTAAGTGGGATGGTCAGCCAAAAATCCCCTTTCTCGATCGTGGATTTTTAAGCATGCAACAAAACAAAGCAGCTCCTACTTTTCACTCATTCCGCTCAACCTCCTTATTCAAGCTGGTACCATGCAGGAGCACACACCCCAGCACTGCTGCTGGCTGAGGAGCTAACAAACAGGAGTACACGTACACATACACACGTTCACAGTCACTGCCACCACCCCCAGCTAAGATGATGGCAACAAGAAGGAGCACATGCACATACACACAAACACGTGCATCCTGACAGCACATGCCCACAGACACCCACTCCCGTTCACCTTAGCTAAGCAAGCACTGAGTTTCAAAGTTGGGATTCTGAACTGCAAGCAACTACATCAAAATGAGATGGGGAGGGGAAGAGAGAGAGAGAAAGGAGCAAACCCAGGAACTCAGTGAGTTAACTGTCTGATAGGGTTAAAACCTCAAAGGCAACATTTTCTAGAGTATGTAATTTTCTAGAGTATGTTCTTAGACACTGAAGTCACACTTTGAAAACACCCCATAGCATCATTCTAGGCACACTTTTTCTTTTTTTTTTTTTTTTTTTTCTGCTCCAGGTTGCAGCTTCCCAGCTGTTTCCCTCCTCTCTACTTAAATGATGAATTTGGCATTTTCGCTCTGAAGTCTAATGAAACACTTACAACGCTGTCACCCACCAGGCCTGTGAGGTCATCTTGGAAAAGCAAAGCACCTGTAACACTTGCATTTTGTGAAATTCAGTGCCAGTAGTAAAGCACTGGCTCCAGCTGTTGTTTGCAAACTCAGTCTGCCTCCTGTCCCAACAGATGACTGCTGCTCGCAGATGACACACACACTGGCTGGTTTTACTGTTGCATTTCAGGGCCAATAAATGCCCCACACCTCTAAAGCCCTTGATGCCAGGGGAATACAAACCAGGGGTACAGTTCCTAAGGCTAGTAGAGAGGGAAGGAGAACAGGATGATGAAAATACATCTGTGCACAGTATAGTAGGAGTAGGTTAGAGCCTCTGCTTTGCCCGTGAGCCTGAGAGCAACTAGTAAAGAGAAAAAAACAATTTTGACCTACCTATGGCCTCAGCAAAAAGATTTGGGGGCACACTGTACACAGTGGAGGAGCAGCAGCTTTAGAAGCACCCTGCAAAACTGGAGCTGCACAACTACCCAAAACTCATCCACAAACTGGCAAAGATGCCTGGCAGAGAAGCAGCTTGAGGTCTGTGTAAACAAGGAACCTCAGACATCTCTTGGGCAGCACACAGGCATTGAGGTGCCGAGGAGCACTTCTGCTGGGATCATACATGCAAGGTGAAGGGTAGAGTGTAAAGCGAGGCAGCAGCAAGGGCTCCTCCGCACATCTGACCACTAATGAGATAGAAAACCCTAACAGCAAGTCTCACACTCCTTTTGAGCAGACACGGGACTTTTTTGCTGCTGGCACCCTGGGATGTTCAGTGCTTGGCTTACTGACCGCTGGTGAGTGGCAGCGGCAGCTCATTCTCTGGGCAGGATTATTTTTCTGAACATTTGCACTAATTTCTTCAAGTGGCAGCAGCCAGGCTCCCTGGGTTTTGCCTGCAGCTCTCATGCCACCTACAAATGTTAGAACACATCCACCTTTCCCAGCACTGGCCCTCCACACGTCCTTGTCAACACCACCACCGCTTAGATGCACAGTCATGGGCTAAACCCTCAATAGCAGCAGGGTAGCAGCTCCTCAGTATTTTTTCCTGACTTTGACAGCTCAGGTTTGCCATTCGAGGTGATATCCACCTCTGAGAATGGGCTTCGGGAGAGATGCCAGCTGTTCAGTGGGGCTCACAACGTAGAGGACACTCCTGCACCCCTGCTCAATTGCTGTGCAGCACCTATTTGCTCCAAAGCTTCCCACCAGAGGCAGCCAGCCAGGACCAGACTCTCTGGGTGATGGGGCTGCCCTGCAGCTCGCCCTGCAGACTGGCTAGTCTCATAGAGCAGTCTGTAAAAGCAGCTGGACCCCCTCTGATCAGAGGGCTGTCCAGTCCTTCAGCTGACCTCTGATAGGGGGCAAAGCCACTGCCAAGGGAAGAGCACACAAAGGGGGTGTGAGCAGTGAGATACTGCCCAGAATGCGCTCTCAGCCACAGCTTTCTGAAGTCAAGATGCTCCCTGAGCCATGACATGCATGCACGAGACACCACTGATAGACACAGAGGGGAGGAGAGACCTACTCCATTTTCAGAAACCAAGTCCCTGTTGCCAGCAAACAGGAGCGACAAACTGGGACAGCAGCAGGTTCTTCATCAGGC